TTATGCGCCGAAGTCACTTGAACGTGTCGGATCTACACTTCGAAAGTTCTGGATTCTCTATGCTACTAAACCTGAGATGGATGACTCCCGGAAACAATTCGTGGAATGGTGGTTAACAACTACGTTTGGATTGAACTCTCAATGCCGAGATAGCTTACATTGGGATGGGAAAAAAACATCAGTGCTTTGGGAGCATTTTGAACAGGTTGCACACGAGAAGACTGGCGAGCCCAAGGTTATGTGTAAGCGGTGTTTTGCAACCCTTACTCATCCAGGTTATAAGCGTACGGGAACCTCTGCACTTAAAGCACATCTGAACGGTGGTACATGTCGCTTAGAAAAAAAAAGAGGCAAGGGATTGACCAGTTAATACGTGAATCAGTACGTTTTGAATATTGTTTTAAAGATATAGAGAGAGACTACTAATATTAGTATTATCTAGCCGCGTGCACTAACAAAGGTCTTTACCAATGATCTTTTCCAGCGAAGAATTCTTAACTTTATTACCACCGCCCGTCTCCCATTTCGTATTGTTGAACACCCAGAGTTTAAAGGCCTTCTTGAAGCTGCCCAACTCTCTGAATCAAGGCTTGATATTCCTTCTGCGCGGACTATCCGACGACTTTTAGACAACACTGTCCAGGAAAGGCAACAAAATATGCTTAGCAAACTTCCAAAAGGAAGCTATCTCTCAGTTGCACTTGACTGCTGGACATCTCCCTTTTCCCAGGCATTTATGGCAATTACTGGATATTTTCTTGATCAAGAATGGAATTACTGCGAGGTCCTTCTTGGTTTTGAGCATCTCCAAGGATCGCATACCGGTGCTCACTTAAGTCAGACTGTGATTCGAATACTCATGGAACATAATATTGATAATCTGTGTATTATCAATTACCACAGATAATGCGTCAAATAACAACACCATGATGGTAGGTGTCCAAGAGATGATTCAATCGCAAGCTCTAAGTGGGACTTCTGTCTTCCGAATTCCATGTATTGCGCATGTTATCCAGCTTAGCCTAAAGGATCTACTTGGAAAGATAAAAGCAAATCCAACAAATAAGGAAGCAGAGACTGAGTGGTCTGATTCGCGTACACAGTCACTACAAACTAGCTCTCGGCAGCCTACAAGGAATATTATGGGAACCTTAAAAAGGTAAGTATATCTTCGCGCTCTCTTTATACTTATACTAATATATATTATCCTTAGATTCGAGAGCTCGCTGTCTTTATCAATGCTAGTCCACAGCGCAGGGAAGCTTTTCTTACCCTTCAAACTACTGAGCCTAAGCTTGTTCCGATCCAAGATGTTCGCACACGCTGGAATTCTACCTTTCTGATGCTTAATCGTGCCAGGAAATTACAATCAGTCTTTGATCGGTATTGTATAACATATCAACATATTCAATTTAAGCTAGATGAAGAGGAATGGCGCCAAGTTGAATATTTGCTTCTGATCACTAAGCCTTTCTTTGATTTTACTAGTGTATTATCAAAGACCAGAGATGTTACAGTTCACCATGTCTTCAGTATCTATAATCGGCTATTTAATCATCTTGATGACGTTGAGAAGAAACTGAAACGTAAAGCTGTCCCATGGAAAAGGAGAATGCTTCAGGCACTTCAGTCAGCAAAAAAAGCTCTCAAAATACTACACTGAAACAGACAATGAGTCATATGGCACAGTCTATGCGATTGCAACAATTCTCTGTCCATCAAAGAAGCTTCGATACTTTGATAATGCGGATTGGAGAGGAAAAAATGAGAAAGGAGAGGAAGTCGATTTCATGAAGCATTACCGGGAGGTTTTACAGAAGGAGTTTAAGCGATATCAGCAGCAGGTTATCCAGGAAACAGAACCGGTTGATAACCAAGCAATCTTTGATCCTGCTGAAAATGAGCTTGAGCTATTATGTGAATCACAGACAGCTCTACAAGCTGAAGTGGATCAACCGGAGGATGAAATAACACGGTATTTGGCAAAAGGTACATATTCTCTATTTCTATACTATTCTGAAGTTAATTAATTTTATAGGGCTCACAAAAGGTAATCCTCGGGTCTTCTGGAAGGAGCATGAGCACGAGTATCCAGTCCTTGCAAAGATTGCACGAGATATCCTCTCAGTTCCTGCAAGTGGCGCTGGTGTTGAGCGGCTTTTAATTGTGCTCGTGATGTCTGTCACTATCGTCGGGGACAGTTAAAGCCAGGCACAATTAAAGATCTAATGCTCCATCTCTTCTCATCTAAGTTTGATCTTGAACAAAGCGAGCTAGAGATGATTAAAGAGTATCTCTCTGTCGGAGAGGCTGCTATGCTTGATCAGACAAGACAGCCTGTTCCATCGCTTAATGAACTCGAACCAATTAGTGATAATGAAGAAGAGGGTTGCGAAGCAGAGGATTTATCTGAGGATGATACAGATGAATCTGATAACGAGGCAGAAGAAGGGTTATCTACCACGCAGCCTGTAGCTCAAACTAAGCAGGTACAACGGAAGCGGTGCCGAAGTAACACCTCTGAGGCTATAGATGATGCTGATAATGGTCTCCCACTTCCCGATATGCCAATTGAGAAGACGCAGGCGCGGTCAGGGGAGGGTTCGGAAGAGGCCTAAGCTACCTGAGGGATTTGAGATTGATAAGCTGTAATATTAGAGACTTAGAAGAGAAATCGAATTTGGTCTAAAAGTGTATTCTAAAGGTTTCAAATTAAGAGATATAGGTAATCTATTACATACTAGATACTCAAAAATACTGCGAAAAGTGCACAATTTATGCATTCACTGGAAAGTCACGAGTTTCAGCATGTTTGTAATGTTTACATATCCATGGATAACCGCAAAAACCGCGGTTCTCCAAAGTGAAAACCGCAACCGCCCACAGTGCGGTTTGCGGTTTTTAAATCAGCCCCAAAACCGCAAATTTGCGGTTGCGGTTTTGGTTATCCGCGGTTGTCCATGGTTTTGCCGCAGTCTAGATATTATTATCTAATTCAGAATCCGAGTTAGCAATATTATTACTAGTAATACTTCTGGATTCTTCATCCTTGTCTGAGCATGCTAAAACTAAAGAAATTAAGGCTAGAGCAGTCTAAACATATATTAGCATATCCATAGTATATGCATAGAGTATACACAAAAATACCTTGTTAATTAGAATATTGTTTATCCAATCGACAATCCTTTGGTCTGGAATGTCTTCCGACATGCTACTGTTCCATTTCTGAAGTTTAGAATATGTTAAAATGCAGATAATTTACAATAAGCCAATTTATGTATACATGTGTGCGTACTAAAATTAAGCGATAATAACTAAAGGTGGTCATGGTCCGAAATATTCTTGGCATAAGCTCAGCGTGGTTCAAAATATGCCTTTGCATGTGCTCATCATGGTTCGAGTGCTTAGTCATTAGTCGGACCATGATGAGTATTTTTCCGGTTCCGATGTCGAACCACGCCGAGCTAATTTCGAACCACGCCGAGCTGTAAGCCCGAGCTCCTGAATTGAAGAGAATTGTGCCTCGCGAACACAGCCCCTCTCTCAGGTGACCCTTCATCATAAGCAACCGTATCAGAGGACGGTTAAAAAAACAGTCCCGCTGGCCGATAGCCTCTTCAGTCTGCGATTACTGTAATTAAAATTCACCATCGCATATCAGGTCCTAAATAAGCATATAGTTTAAAGAGGCTAGATAATCTCCCATACCAAGAGACGATGGTTTTTGAGGTGGGGCAATAAGGTGTCGTCTGTATTAACGATATGAGTGAATACAGCACTACTGTCCTGGATACTCTTTGGTAAGGCACAATACAAATCATCGACAGGGGTTTTCGGATAATTTCCTAATAAGTACTAGTGGAACTTAGTAATAAGGTTTTGAGAATCAATCTGCTTCCTGCGGGGATCGAACTTTTAGCGTATACCAGTACATCCTACGCCACTACACCCTACGCCACTACGTACGTCACTCTAGTACCCCACAGCAGGCTAGCCAGTGGCAAATGCAATGCCATCATCCCCTTGCAAATAATCCATTTTTGTGCCTTATGACCCATAACTCGCAGCCTAAGCGATTACAAGTGACCATCGTCCGGGCTATCGAGTCATGCTTGAGCAAGAGTTTTAAAAACTTGATCGGCTACCAATTCACAATCCAGTCTGCTAAACCACGTTTTAGTATCAGCAGTAGCTTCTAACTCGGATCCTAACATCTACGGTAGTCCTGTTGGAAACAAACACCTTGCGCTTGTTGGGGACTCTGTTCTATCAACAATGCGTCTTGGCCGTTGGTATGGAAGTGGTGAAAGCTTGGGCAAGTTGCCAAATCAAATCCAGAAGGTCGGTGCTAATATATGGAAGGGCTTAACCTGGAAAGTACATCGTGAGGGATCCAGGTCATACAGATACAGTAGCGGAAGGTTGTCTTGCGACTTTTGCTGAAACCACTTAGTTCAGTCTTAACTCGAACAAAGAATACAATTCATCAACTGTGTCACAGAGAAACTGGGCTTATATGACGAGCTGCACGAAGGGTCTAAAAATGCGTTGACATATCTACCCTTATACGTCACATTGATATAGTAAGGTGAGTAAACAGAGCGGCTGTATGCCTGTGTTGTGTGATCGGTTTATGAATAGAAGAGTGATATTTACGGGATTATTAGAACATCGCCCTATAAGGCAGGGTGTTGGGCACAATTGTGGGCCAAATCAGCACTTTTAACGGGTAGAACGGCCGTGGGCCTTGTAACAGTAAAAGCGCACTTATACCATGTTATATTACTTGGCTTTTGGCCATGACTCATCGTGCAGAGTTTCAGGTACAAGAGAGAAACGTAATCCCAATTATTTTGTTGTACGGGAATGACGTAGGAGGCGAACCATCGGTCCCCATATGTCATAGACGTGCCTTGATGGAAGCAAATTTATTAATTTCTTTTGCTACATCCGTGTCGATCTGTTTGGTTTAACTATTCTCCGACATTATACATCTCAGAATGGGCTCAGAACAGAATAAGGTATTCCACCCTAAAGTAACTTTACTCCCCTGCAGCTCAACTGTAACGTTGCGTACTGACCACATCTGTGTTTTAGCCACTCTCAGAGGATGAGAGACGTCTATTTCGCACGTACGGAAGGTTGCCTCATGGTGGGGGTATGCTTAGGCAGCAGTGTAAGGTGTGTCAGATATAATTTAACTGCCCAAGTGTTTTTACTGATAAGTAAAAGGAACGGAAATACTTTGACTCGGGTGATTTCGCTCTTTCTTCAGCCCATACCACAACCAGTAATGGGGCTATAAGAACTGGCACAGCCCATCCTGTGCGAGAGACCATTTCGCATCCCAATGCCCCGGTTCCTAGCACCAGCAACGTTAATAAAGACGCCAACAAGGACCTCTATGACAAAGAGAGTCCAAAGGAAGAGGTTGCTGAGAGCTCTCTTCGTGCGCAAACTGATTTTGATGAAAATTCCCAGACACCACGAGAATCATAGCAGTTCTGATGGATTTAGGTCCGTTGAGGCTGAATGATTCTAATTTAAAAAAAAAGAAAAAAGAAAAAAGAAAAGAAAAAATCTTTATTCTAAGGCAAAGGAGCGTTTTTGGAACCTGCACCAGATTGATAAAAGAAATGTGTTTATAAGTCCCAATAAGAAGATACCTGATGGCTATGCTGAGAAGGGTTTCTCCCTATGCTTGTCGATGACAGCCAGGTGTCCTAGGATCACGAGCTTTTAGTGTCATATTCGACTCAGACGACCCACCACCCGGAAGGGTGTTCATCATCCACGCCCTGCTGCCTATTTCCACCCGTCTTTTCTTTTCGGCGGCCCAGATATGACGGACTGAGTCGAGCAGTGTGGACAAAAGGTTTTTATTCAAAAATTTTATATTGCCACTACCTGCACCCCCGGTGAGATGCTACGATGCGTGGGAGTATGCTGGAAGAAAGTGACGGGGATGTATCGGTTGCTAAGTAATACAGCAGATGTTGTAAATAGTTTTGCGAAATGGTGAAACGAACAAGGGGAAGTCGCGCTAAATCGGAGATCGGCCTCTACCTTTGTGATAATCCAAGATCACATTATATCAATGACCAACAGCTTGGCCTACTACGAAACGTATGCTCGACACCAACGGACCATTCACGGCCCGATTGCTCTTGATATCGAGCCTCCACTAACTGATCCCTAGTCTTCTATCACGTGTGCACTCCAACTACCTAGCACATATTAGTTCTCATGAATGAGTTTCAGGAAAAGACGGCCAAATCTCCTGGGAAAGTTGATGTTAGGAGCGCTCAGAAGGCGCAATAGCTAGATCCTTAGCTAAGATGCTTAGTCAGGTGCGAAGTGTATATATTCGCACCCGCGGGCCTGAACTCTTGAAGGCCAGCGATTAGTTCTGCAATATACGTGGTCCTATCTTCCCTCCCATGTAGACATTCCCTTTCGCACCGTAGCGCACCATTCAGCTCGTTACCGACCCCACACATAACAGTTGACCTTCCTTGGAACTATTGTACTGCCGCTGAACATCTTCTACGGCATGTGAGGAATGAATCTAATTGTTCTGGGCCAGGAAGTAGACAATTTGTGCTGGTTTCTGTCCAGCACGTTTCCTTATCAAGTTGGTGGACAAATAGATTATCGGGGGATGTAGTTACGGTAAGGCTAATTTTTCGCCTTTGTCTTGTTCCTGATTGCCAAATGAACCTACAAGATTATATAGGTAGCTGCGTGCCACGGCTGTGCGCCTAAATTATGACTATGACTATTCGAAAGTGGGCAGTCAGCCAGTTATATACTACCACCCATCACCCTCCCGGATTCAGACCATCCAAGCATCCCACAGTGCAAGTTTCTGTTGAAGCTGCGGGACAGCATACGGCCGCATGGCGGGCTAGTTGGATATTTTGCCGCTAAATCCTCGCAGGTGCCTCATGACGAGCTCCTTCTAGACAGTTTATGCGAGAATACACAATGACGCTGAGTGAAGCTGGATAAAAAGATAGGTCCAGCTCAGCCTAACAATGCCGCTGTATTCCATGGATCCACCGGCCACGCCGGCCACGACGCAGTAGATGGAGATCCCGGTTCCTGGCCTGGTTTTGTGCGCAAGAAATCCTGTTATCTGGGATCTATATCTACAAAACAGCAAGAATCCTACAGGCGTGGCCGGGCAAAGATCCAAAGCGCATCCGGACCCTATACAATTTGATAGCAGTCAACATTGCTATTATATGTTTGGACGTTGCGCTTCTCTCTTTAAAGTATCTTAATTTCTATATCCTTCAAACAACGTTCAAACCCACGGTATACAGCATTAAATTGAAATTGGAATTTGGCATCCTGAGAAAGCTTGTTACACTTGTCAGACCAGGATGCAACGAACCCAACATTTACAGCCCGGGGATGATCCCAAGCTGCGTGGATTCGAGCAAAATCATGGAAGATAATGCTCATGCAATCATGGCCCCTGTGAGGTCTAATATGGAGAGTAGAATTTGCTTTTCTGACTCCATCAGATCACTGTCGCTTGTTGATGCAGAATCCTAAGTGGCACAAGACAGATAGCATGAACGACACTATTATTAGAAGAGGCTCTTGCGGCAAGTTCATAAGCATCATGGTGTCCAGAATTTATATATTATTACCGGGTTATCGCAAATATGCTAGCTGATAATGTGATAAGTTTTATATCTGCACCTGGAAGATTATAGCTGCTGGCTAGGTTTGCGTTGGGTATACAAGTTCAGATATCGGAACCCGGTGCTTTTGATATGATACTTAGTATAGGAAAGAAGAGTCAAGTCCGCAAAGAGAAACAAACAGCAAATATCTGCTATATTAATGGAATGCTGTGGCTGCAACGTTTTCCTTATTGAAACCGACGGGTTCTGAGCCTACTTGTACCAAGAGATCTACATAGTCCAATCGTCCTAAAGAGGATTACAATCCCTATGGCCTTTTCAAACCTGGAATAGCTGGCTTTAATAAATCTAGAACAACTCCAAATCTTGAATAATGGTTTGGAATAGGCCGATACTGTAAAGGGGCGAAATGCCTTGCTATCTAATAACTAGATATACACAAAGAGGAATCGCTGAAAGGGAGAAAGGAAAGGGGAGGAAGTGTGCGTTCTCATACTACAAGGAGTCATGTGACTACGATAAGCGGACCAATCATATGTGTCAATCGCAGCGAAGGTGAAGCCGAGCAACATACAGGCGTAGCCCGTGACAGATACTTCAAGGAAATGGGAACCAAATATTCTTTTTCTTTCCAAAACAGCGTACATTGTCCTCTGTAGATAGATAATTAAATATCTTAAAGATTTTTCACATACTGTACTTAGTATACTGACCCACGGCTGAGCAAACCATTGCGACGTCTACTTGGAACAAGATGACTGCAACTCCGACTTTCCAGTCAGAGGCATTTCCCCCGTGAAGGTATGATCCCTTAAAGTTCTCGCTTATGTGATGATCCTATACACCTTGGTAAAATGGATAGATTCTATCTAAGATGGCGATCTAACGAAACATCAAACGTAGAGAAGGAAGGAAGGAAAAAAGAATTCTATTGTACAGGAAATGTGGGAAATCTCTGCATTGTGGGATCAACAGTGAATAAAGCAGACTTGGTGCCTCAGGCAGGATTCGACCTAGGTCCTGACAGCTTAGTTAATAATTCTTCTTGGACAGCTGCAATCAACAACGTAAAAGATCAACGACTGCCGAAGCATTATGTATATACCGGAATGCTGTATTATATAAGGCGTTTATACTAACGAAGGTTGAAAGGTATCACTTAAAACGAGAAGTCTGCGCATGTAAAAAGACTAATAGAGCCCCCAAGACAACTAAGTATTCCAGCGGATTGTTTGGATTCTTAAGATGAAATAAAATCCATTAGAAGGTAAAGATATGGTTCTTCATTTTTGTAGAAACCAATATTTGTGGCGTCACATGTGGAAGCCTGGTACACAATATTTACACTATCTGTACAAGATATACTCATATTGACACCGGTTATTCACTATATAACTTGATGGGTTTGGCAACAAGTTCCCCACTTTGCCTACACTCAACCATGTTGGGCACCTTTTTAAGTCACTCTGGATCATACTCTCAAGACCACGATAGAATTCTTCCTTCCTTCTCTACGTTTAATGTTTCGTTAGATCACCATCTTAGTTATAATTCATCCATTTTACTAAGGTGTACAGGATCATGATACATATTGTATCTGTTCAATGGTCCTGGTGCAATGAGCCTGAAGAGGTTTCATTGTTTTAATTCAGTCTTGTGATGGAGATAGATAATATTTTTATAATTTGAACTATAGCCTCTGCATTTGCACAAGGGACATAGGAAAACCAGATAGATATGGACAAAACCTATATCGAGGCATGGTGCAGGATGCGATTCGTTCTCCAAACAATAAATCTCTCGTGCCAGCGTGCCGGCATGTTCCGGTACATGATTTTTTACTTGCGTACCACAGTGAGAATCACAGCTTTATATTTATTATTTAATGGGTTGATACTCACACCCTATGCATTCCACTAAAGTCAGTGCTGCGTTGTAATAGTATGCTTATTATTTTATAGGTTGGAACTTACAGGCTGAATATTTAACCATAGTTAGTCCTGTTATATAATAGTGTGCTTGTTGTTTTATAGTTTGGTACTTACAAGCTAAATATTCCAGCATAGTCAGTCCCATACTAAAATAGTATATTTATTATTTTATAGGCTGATACTTACTCCCTGTTTTTCCATTAGAGTAAGACTGTACTGTAATAGCATATTTATTATTTTATATATTTATACTCACAATCTAAATATTCCACTAGTCAGTCCTGCTGTAACAGTATATTTATATTCTTAATAGGTTAATACTTACTCCCTTTATATTCCACTAGTCAGTCCTGCTGTAACAGAATATTTATACTCTTAATAGGTTAATACTTACTTCCTTTATATTCCACTAGTTAGCCCTGCACTGTGGCAGTATATTTATTTTATATATTTATACTTACAATCTAAATATTCCACTAGTTAGTCCTGCTGTAACAGTATATTTATTATTTTATATATTTATACTCACAATCTAAATATTCCACTAGTTAGCCCTGTGCTGCGGCAGCATGTTTATTATTTTATATATTTATACTTACAAGCTAAATATTCCACTAGTTAGCCCTGTACTGCGGCAGCATATTTATTATTTTATATATTTATACTCACAAGCTAAATATTCCACTAGTTAGCCCTGTACTGCGGCAGCATATTTATATATTTATACTCACAAACTAAATATTCCACTAGTCAGTCCTGCTGTAGCAGTATACTTATACTCTTAATAGGTTAATACTTACTTGCTTTATATTCCACTAGTCAGTCCTGCTGTAGCAGTATATTTATACTCTTAATAGGTTAATACTTACTTGCTTTATATTCCACTAGTTAGCCCTGTGCTGCGGCAGCATGTTTATTATTTTATATATTTATACTTACAAGCTAAATATTCCACTAGTTAGCCCTGTACTGCGGCAGCATATTTATTATTTTATATATTTATACTCACAAGCTAAATATTCCACTAGTTAGCCCTGTACTGCGGCAGCATATTTATATATTTATACTCACAAACTAAATATTCCACTAGTCAGTCCTGCTGTAACAGTATATTTATATTCTTAATAGGTTAATACTTACTTCCTTTATATTCCACTAGTTACCCCTGTACTGCGGCAGCATATTTATTATTTTATATATTTATACTCACAAACTAAATATTCCACTAGTCAGTCCTGCTGTAACAGTATATTTATATTCTTAATAGGTTAATACTTACTGCCTTTATATTCAACTAGTTACCCCTGTACTGCGGCAGCATATTTATTATTTTATATATTTATACTCACAGGCTAAGTATTCCACTGGTCAGTCCTGCTGTGACAGTATATTTGTATTCTTAATAGGTTAATGCTTACTCCCTTTATATTCCACTAGTTACCCCTGTACTGCGGCAGCATGTTTATTATTTTATATATTTATACTCACAATCTAAATATTCCACTAGTTAGCCCTGCACTGTGGCAGTATATTTATTTTATATATTTATACTTACAAACTAAATATTCCACTAGTTAGCCCTGTGCTGCGGCAGCATGTTTATTATTTTATATATTTATACTTACAAGCTAAATATTCCACTAGTTAGCCCTGTACTGCGGCAGCATATTTATTATTTTATATATTTATACTCACAATCTAAATATTCCACTAGTTAGCCCTGCACTGTGGCAATGTTTATTACTTTATATATTTATACTCACAATCTAAATATTCCACTAGTCAGTCCTGCTGTAGCAGTATACTTATACTCTTAATAGGTTAATACTTACTTCCTTTATATTCCACTAGTTAGCCCTGCACTGTGGCAGTATATTTATTTTATATATTTATACTTACAATCTAAATATTCCACTAGTTAGTCCTGCTGTAACAGTATATTTATTATTTTATATATTTATACTCACAAGCTAAATATTCCACTAGTTAGCCCTGTACTGCGGCAGCATATTTATTATTTTATATATTTATACTCACAAACTAAATATTCCACTAGTCAGTCCTGCTGTAACAGTATATTTATACTTTTAATAGGTTAATACTTACTTCCTTTATATTCCACTAGTTACCCCTGTACTGCGGCAGCATATTTATTATTTTATATATTTATACTCACAAACTAAATATTCCACTAGTCAGTCCTGCTGTAACAGTATATTTATACTCTTAATAGGTTAATACTTACTGCCTTTATATTCCACTAGTCAGTCCTGCTATAACAGTATATTTATACTCTTAATAGGTTAATACTTACTCCCTTTATATTCCACTAGTCAGTCCTGTGCTGCACTGCAACAGTATATTTATTATTCTATAGGTTGGTACTCACAATCTAAATATTAAACTGTAGTTAGTCCTGTGCTGCAGCAGCATAAATATTTACCTAATGGCTACAGCTCACCTGACGCTTGCTAATAAAGCCTGCCTGTGAGCAAGCTTTTAAAATCTGGCTTTTTTCTAACGCTTTCCTTGCACTGTCTATGGAAGTTGACATTAGCTTTACCATGCGAGTAGCCTTATCCAAACTTATCTCCTCTCCAGAGCTGGTGGAGACCGAAGTGTGTCTTTGAAGTTTAATAATTGCATCCTGTAGCTGCTTCCGGCCACGGCAAAGTTCTGGGTAAAACAGCTGTAATTCTCCTTCAGTGGTTATTGCACAGAGGTTGTCCATAATAGCTTGCACGCGATGGAGCCCGTTGACTATTATTAAGGCTGGACTGTTTATAGATTTATGGTCGGAATTGCTGACGTTGCTGGCTGAGAGAGGGAATATGTCTGAAGAGGTGGCCATTTTGTCTAAAACAATTTTCTGGCCCTGAAAGTAAAGAGAAGTTTCGTTTAAAGTGTTGCTGATATTAACAACGCCATGGCAGATTGAATCCTCAGGGGAACTATTAGAAATTGCACCTGCTATGCAGACAATCAGAGCAAGAATAAGGCACTTCATAGCTGCTATTAACAATAAAGGATATATTGCTCGGTTTTTTGGACTTAAAAAATCTCCTTGTATGTTAATATGCTTTAATACTGCTGTGTGGCCACCCTATTAATACTGGGAGGATTCGGCGCGGGGTCGGTTTACATTGTTTATTTGTTTGCTCTGTTAACTCTTGACTGAGGAGTAGGGTGGGACAAAATGGTCGACTAGACTTCTACCCCCCTTTCCATTTTTTTTGTCATGTTCTTGTCAACGGTGTCGAGTGGTCCTTCCAGCTCTCATGTAATGGAGATATGCAAGCAGCCGCTGGGGCCAGAGCATCCTTCTATATAACCAGCATGAGCAACGTAGCAAGCACATTTTTAGCCAAAGATAATGGAAGGAAGCAGAGTTGCTAGAGGTGTATGTAATAGAGATCTGCAACTAGGTAACACCTGCCCAGCATGAATAACCTCGCTTATACCTGGAGACCATAGAGGAAGGTTCAAGACGTCGCACTTTTAATAGGAGACTGCGTTGCACTCTGCAATCAAGTATTGGGACCTAGTAGTAGTAGTAGTGGTAGTAGTATTTATACTCGAATCTGTCAGCTATACACCAATTGCCGGAAAAATTTACACTCTAACGGCCGGGCCCATCCCCAGGGTAGTTAGATAGATGTACGTGATCAAGTCACAGGATTAAATTCAACCTCGCTCCTAACCACCATATCCAATGCTCTGCATATGCTTCGTCACTAATAACCGCGCTCCACCTCCACTCCTAACACACTGGTCATCGGTTCCGTGTCCCCGTGTAATATGTCCATGTCGTGTCCCTGCAACCCCAAAGGATCGGAGGTGTAAAGGTCTTGTTTTAAGTAAAATTCCGATTGCATATAGAGGCTCGAACCTACCGGTTCTGTAGCGCAATATTAGTATCTTTTAAACTCCTAACTTAGCTGAGGAGTCGTGTCTGTAGCATAAATATGATTCCTGTTCTGTCAAGCCAACAACAGCTGACGTGGGTGTCTAGATACCACAAGTAATCAGGCTACTCTACAATGTTCTTAGCTGCAGATCTGCATGCCTGTTGCATAAGAGCAGGACATATTGGACAGACTGCGTCCCATATCCGCATGGGCATGCCGTCGTGTCTATGGCACCAAATGTTCCCAGGTAGGATGCCAATGCAATCCGGCCTGTCTGCATCTGTATAAGCACCGAGCTGTGTGCGCGGTGGAGGAGGTCCAGCACCCGCTCTGTGAGCTCGGGGAGTATTTGTTTGGTGTGTATGCCGTGTTTTGTGGAGGCATACCCCCCTGCCATGTCTTGTACGCCAGCTCATGGAGGCGTCGGCGGTACACAGAGACCAGAGTCGCTTCATGCGTGAGTTGTAGACGCCTGTATAGCTGCGAGCTTGGCGTAGTGGTCTGCTCGCTCGTTTCCGGGATTACCTTCATGGCCGGGGAGCCATCGAATGCGTACTCGTTGATAAGACTGCAGTCTGTCAAGTTGGTAGATGAAGCAGTGTGCGATGTATTGTAAGCATTAGGACCTAATCCCCCTCTAGCACCCTTAATAACTAGAAGAAAAGCGAGCATTCCTTACTACAAATACCTTACAAGAGACATAGAATCAGCATCTGCAGTAAATCTCCGCAAATACTTAGCAGTTGTGATCCCTGAATCGTCTTACCAGGAACGCATTATCCAAACTCCAAGACAAAAGGATCGGCAAATCCTATAAAACAGCTTATAAAAATTATCCCCTCCTTACAGCTTCCAGAATTTGATTAAGCGTCATGATTTTTTATGATTATTCGCTCAGGAGAAGGAACGGTAGGCAGAAGAATATTATACCAGCTATACGCCAGTAGCCTACTTAGGATCTTTATCTGTTACGAATATAGCTCGGACCTCGTTGTAGGACAAAGTGCGGGGTTCACTCGGCTATATAAAGTTGCATGTATCTAGTTATTCTGTGTGATAAGTCGCTCATTCAATTCCAACTTACTCAGCTCCTCTATTCTAGTACTGTACCAACCCCTCTGACCTACCGTAGATTCGCTACATTATCACAGTAGTAACAATCATCAACTAATTCTACTACTAGGGTCAACATGATCTCTCACCGATAACTATCTAAAGGAGTGGGGGCATGTTATGGAAACACTAATTGTTGTGAATCTACAGTAGGTCAGAGGAATTGGCATTGAATAGAGTGAACTAAGTCATTGAATTGGATGAGCGAACTTAGTATACAGGGATTTCGTCTGTGGGAAGACATATATAAGCGAGGACTTCGCCGATCGTTCGGGTAATCCTTCGGGCCGATCCCATATTCAAAACACTAATAATCCGCACGGCTTGGCGATGTAGGGTTCTATTTGCTGGAAGAGCAGGAGTAGCAGTAAAGACAGACCACACAGGAGCAGGATATAGAAGGCCCACAACTGTAGCCTTTCCATAATGTTATAACCTGTGATCACCGTTCCTTTTAGTACATAGATCGTAGCATACGTGAGCACTGTTGTCGGAATGGTGAGTAGAGCAGCGTCAATCGTAATAAGGTATGCGATCGAACGTAAGAGGTTGCAGTTCGTGCTGGGGACCGCTTGTAGTATGTCAACGGCACCTTCCGTGACAACTATGAGTAAGTCAATCTGCTCTCTGAACTGTTGATCCCTGGTATTTTGCAGGGGCAGGCACTGCATTCTTTCGCTAAGGCGGACAATACTTCCCACCCCAACTCAGATTGGTTGGTATCCAACTTTGGTGGTAATAACTCCGTACGAATCATCCTGTACAACTACCGCTTTACCAACCGTAGCCAGCACCCCTGCAACTCCACGGACACGACTTCTGGATCATGGCCAAGGGAGTAGGTGAGTCTGGCGGAGTGGCGAATTCGAAGAACCCCGTTCGGGCGGGATACGTTTGTGCTACAGCCGGGCGAACCCGTCAAGGGGCGCGGGTATGTGGTGGCGGACTTTGTCACGGACAACCTGGGGGCTGGGCCGTTACATTGCCATCTGGCGTGGGGTGTCAGTGCAGGACACTATGTGAATGTGCTGGTCAGTGCTGCAATCTAGTAGATAGTCCACTTAAGAGAGACCAACGCCATTGCCGACAATAGATCAGGAACATCCGGAGAGGATCTAGGATATGAAAATCTCTCATAGTATTTACCAGCCCTGCTATCATTGGGCCAACTACAGAGGAGTGGAATTAGTCCCGGAGATTGATGCAGGGGCATAGGCAGCTAAGGCGTTCCTTTGCTTTCCCTGAGGGAGTCCTCGTGGGCCACAGTAGTTGCGGAGGGATATCATTTCTATTAGATTTATAATTGCTGACTTTAGTCATAACTGGTGGGCTTAATCATTCAGCAAATCCCTTGGTAAGCAATGACTGATTTTGATAGCAGTTCGATGTTTTGGAGTTTTTTGTTGCATTTCTGGCTTTCTGTTTTTACTACTACCGGGACCCTTGGCTGTTGATGATAGGAAGAGCCACTTCGGGGAGCTAAAATAGGGTATAATGGGATCTTTCTCTATATGAGTATTATAAGCCTTGTATTCGTAAGTAAGCAATCCTAATAAGCGAATTTCAACACCCCATAACCAGACCTCGCCGAAATGCGTCGTTACCCATGGGTTTTTTTTTTTTTTCAATACCCGTCTTGTGAGTCTGTACTGGTCTATAATCGTGTAATAGTTTCTAGCACTTCGACTCGTCCGCTATTGTACTTGTAAATTAAAGATAAAAATTGGCCAAGAGTTCAGGCCAGCCCCAATTAATTATTAATAGAACAAGATGATGGCGTATTGCAATGGTTATTATTATCAGAGCGTAGATAAAAAAAAGTAATAAAGCACAGGTTGCACCCTATTCTATTTACCTACTTCTGACACTAACATATATCTTGTCAAATTTACATTCATTATTCCTTATGTTTGTGTGTGGAAAGCCCGGAGAATACTCAAATAAAATTACCGCAGATACGATTCATACATTGATAGCGCTCATACTGTCCAAGAGCGACTATAGTCCGCTGTTCCCGCATTGTACTTGGCGGCTGCCTAAGAAATGGATTGTGTCTGTCGTCGCATTGTGAAACGAACAGCAAGTGAGCGAGTTATGTGGCTGCCTTCTCGTTGCGCCTAAATATATCATAGGGTGTACAACTCTATTTGACTCGGAACGGCTACTGGATATTTTCTGCTGATATCCGAGCTAAAGTGGGGCCACTTTAAATGCGAAATGCGAATACGATGCGATTAGCTCATCCCAGGTATCCACAGCTATACCAATTTTGTCTTGGCATGGCTTTGTTCATAGATTTAAATACCATGTAAAGGCACACCAGTAGTTGAATGCATTTTGCTTCTTCTACCATGTCAATATCTCAAATATATGGAATTATATATATCCTGGAAATCATTTATTGTCCTAACTTGCGTTGTCTCAAGGAGAAATGACGAAATGTGTGATCCCCGATGACTCCGGATGGACGTTTTGTCCCTCCTTTGAAGCCGCTGTGCTCTTCGCAACACTCTATGGGCTGTTCTTTTTTATTCACATTTTCTTAGCCATTAAATTCCGAAAGGTAATATGGACCGACATTAATTTTGCTCCCACGAAAAGACTCATACCTATGCAAGCTTGCCAACTCGCAATTCCTTCTCTGGCCCCTCAGTTACAAAACGAGAAGCTAATTCTCTTTCCGAATAGAAGTTCTGCTGGGTAATCATCATGGGATGTGCCTGGTTAACAATCGGATACGGGCTTCGTGCGATGGCTGGTCGCCGGATTCGAGGTCTAGCCGATTTCATCCCCCAGCAGCTTCTTATCATCCTGGCTCCCCTCTGGATCAACGGTTTTGTGTACATGGTTGTTGGCCGTATGGTATACATGCTTCTAACACGTCGTCGGGTACTCAATATCCACGCACGACGTCTGACGTTTTTGTTTGTCATCTTTGATATCATTGCTTTCCTGGTTCAGGCCTCCTCGGGCAGCCTAATGAGTTCGGACAACCCTAAGACAGCAAACATCGGCATCAAGATCTGTTAGTAATCCCGTTTTTCACTTTCTGGGATTGCAGTATCACAGACTGACTTGAGTTGTAGTGATGGCTGGTATTGGATTACAGCAGTTTTTCATAACAATGTTCATTGTGCTGACTGGCAGATTTCAATACAAGCTTAATGTCGCCGCAACTCAAGGTGGGGATTACGTTGAACAGGAACATGTACGTAGAGATCCTGAGTCACATGCTGATGACTATGTATCGCAAGCCATTCACACTGTTCCCTGGCGTCGGCTTCTCTATTCCTTGTATGCCGTGTTGATTTTCATAACAATTCGAAACGTGTTTCGCTTGGTTGAATTCTCCGACGGTATCAATGGTCCTACTGCAACTCATGAGGCGTACTTCTATTGTCTTGAAGCATTGCCTATTCTTGCGGCTGTTACGATTCTGGCTGTTATTCATCCGTCTTGTGTCCTTCGTGGTCCTGATAGCGAGTTTCCGCCCAAGGAGAAGAAATCGAAAAAATCAAAGCAGAAGAAGAGGAGGTCGTCTCATAAACCTCTAACTGAGTTCAGTGATGCATAAGTTTGTTTAGCAAAAGTTGAGAGGAAATGATACAGTGAAAGTTATAATATAGACATTCAACATTAACATGCAGTTATTCTGGAATCTGTTTTGTATATAGAGGTGTGTTATTCAGGTACTTATTGGTTTGCCTGCCCTGGCGAACATAAGCTGATAATGGTCTGGTTGTTTATTAAAGTACTGCTAGAGTTTTTCGGTCTAAGGTTATTCTTCATTTACAGATAGATAGTTGGAGTGAGAGTAGCACTATGTATGACCCTATAATCATTCACAAAATATAAGCGATTCTATCCGATAGGACACGGCATATGTTTAAAATATCTCCACTTGCTACTTGTGAGCCCTGCAATTCTATACAGCTTCCCTATCTTTCGTCCGTCCTCTTTTATAGGACGGTAAATTGAACGATTCTCGTATGTTCATAACTATATAATGGAGTCCCTCAAGGATATAATCCCCACCATGGATCTAGCTGGCTATAGGGGGAACATTATACTAGACAAGAAAGTCATAGAGATGGTTAAATCAACAAGGGGAACATCACCGGAAGAAATTGTGTGCGAGCTATTTCCTTATAGAATGTGTGTGATTGAGCAAGCGCTCTATGATGACTCCGGTGACTGTAAGGGGCGTCCGCTAGATTATACTTATATGAGAAAATTTCAATTTGGAATAATTATGAGGATTTCAAGAAACTGGTAACAAAGGGCAATTATGGGGTGGTGCAGCCGATATCTAATGTGCGGGATGATATTTCTGCGGATGAAATGTAACTTTTTCAATTTTCATGGTCCAGAGAATGGAGCAGGAAATAATAACTACTATCGTCTGACATACTATAAGTTATACCTTACTGCTTGGTGAATAGCAGTATATGTTGCTTGGCAGTAATTATAGGCGAGCAGTAAGAAGCAGCCTTCCCACGTAAGACCGACGTAGTGGGGCGGTTTGGTCGCTATGAGGCACAGCATAATCTTCTAATTATCATACTCACCCTTGTCGAATCCTACCCTTTTCCACACGAGCTCTGGCTTGGAAAAGAAGTGCATTTTACGTATTCATCACCATCTGATTAGAAACTAATTTTGAAGGGTAGTGAAGAGTGCTGATGGTATGGTAGAGAGGAAACAAACGGAGACCAAAAAGCATCTACTGCCGCTGCCAATTTCAAATGCCAGAATCCTGAAAATGCTGAGCAGGAGATATTTATAGCCGTCTATCTATTATCAAGTACTTATGGGATATGTTACCCAATTTATGTCACACAATCTTCATTCAACATTCACACGCAGTCCATACTGCTCTACTAGGAGTTAGAAAGTATGCTCTCAATTTACCACCCATGGACTAATCTGTTATTCGGGCAATAGGAGAGCGACTGTTCTATTTTTTCAATAATCATAATATGAGGCAAAAGTACTGCAGATGACCCGAATTCCAAAGTTGCAAGTCTTTGCAGATGCAACATACATAAGCCTGCCCAAGAAACATTTTTGCCCAAGATAACAAAGACATCATAATACTGCCTTTAAGAAGACTTATATTTCGAGTTATAAGCATAGTCAATGGTACATAAATAGGTGCCCACAATACAGCAGAATTATCCGCTCTCTGATTCCACCGATGATTCTTGAATCCTTTAGATATCGTCGGACGTAAATCCAACCCGTTCATATATCCACTACCATCGCGATATAACTTCTCAAAGTGTTTCGAAACCCGCATATTATCTACTAAAGCCGAGGGATGTCTAAAATGGACGTCGGGCATGGAAGTTGCCCCCTCAGCGTTAAATTTTTAAAATGTTTTACTGATATCTCGGTAAGAAGTGGTGTGATTCTAACTTTCGAAAGATCGTTTTCTTTAGCAATGGCCTTATGAGATACTGCAGGGACCTTTAGCAAAATGGCTATAAAGACGCCTGTACGATCATTTCCTAGATCGCAATGGATAGAATTGTTAACTTCGGAAAATAGAGTATATGTTTAAAGATTTCTCACAGGCAGAGCTTCCTTCCTCAGAGATCAGGCTCTAAATCCAGATGACGGCGGCCCTGGACGTAGCATCATCTCCAGACAGGCCTTGGAAGTATTTTACACCACATTCACGATGCTGGAGAGGTTCAATGGTTGGGAGCTGACGTATCGGAATGCCACATTTTGAGAGTGGTGTTTCTAAAGGGCCGTTCAGTGGTAGACCGAAGACCAAAATGCACAAGACATTGGATGCCTCTTGGAGAAGTTTGATCAATGTTGGCCGACCGAAAAACCCTGCAGGCCCTTGCGAACCTGATGGCAATAGCCTAAATTGCGACCACTGCCGTCCCGAAAATTGCGGACTCCATCAATTTTAATATTGGGGCCTGATATTTTGCGAATAGAGGAATGGGATAGGCAACGACTGTAAAATTTTCAATTACCAATATCTCCTGTCTAATATATTATCAGTTTTGGCAAATTTTGCTATGATAGAGATATGCCACATTTTAAGCTTTCTGAAGTACTATTGCGAAATGCAGAACGGGTTCAATTTCAGCAGTAAACAATTAAGCCATATAAGGTACACGTGTGTAGGGGATTCGGAGGGTCTGGCATGTGAGAAGAAAAGGGCATGAAGCCAGGTCACATCGTCCTTCAAACTTCTTCCATAGATGGATGCCTAAGGCCGAATTTCCAATTTGCCCGCAACTGTGCAGAAGGAATATGCAGATAACTTAGCATTCCCTAAGAAATATCCTGATCCTCCACATTAGACAGTTAAGCAGCAGGTGAGGTCATCAGAAATGTCCAAAATAGTCGGCCCAAGACCACCCGCCACACCGCCACGCGGTGCTTATATCTGCTCGGTGAGCAATAGCCACGAGGCCTGCGCATGAAAATCGACCGCAGAGTCGTTCAACACATTTAGAAAGTTCAATATTTTGTGATATATCCAGAATCACCCTGCTGAGCGGTACCGATAGATTAATTATTGTTGTTGACCTCTCTGCTTCAAGCCCCGTTCTCATGCAGCGCATGCCATTTACGAATCACTGCTGTCTGCTCTTCCGGCGATGCAGCACACATTTCCTGGATCCCTTGCGTAATTCGTGATCGTAGAATCTCCTTGGATTTGCTTGCAGCCAGCGATTTGCGAAGATTCTTATGGATTCCGTCCAAAGGAAATCCCACCAACCCACAAATACCTGCATAATTGACCGGGTCAGAATTTACGGCATAGCAAAAAATGTGCAAAGAAAAGCAGTTTAAAAAAAGGAGTGACTTGGCCTAGGTACCTGCAGCGGGTTTGAAAAACACTCCTCCTATGCCTTTTCCAACACCTTTTGCCAGGCCTTTGCCACCTGTCTCTTGGAAACCATGAGCTGGTTGAGTAATGAGCCCTGTGAAACCATCGTAAAATCCCCCGACAAATTCCTAGAGTAGGTGAGTGAACCTGGCCATGCCGCGCATACCGGATCAAAGGTTACTTACTTTCTCGGCAGCCCAAAGTCCAGTTTTGAACCCCCTGACAGTGGGAATGTTTTGCACTGTGGTGTCGTGATACAACTTCGGCAGATTGTGAAACCCTTTCGATACGCTGAGAGTCAAATCTGTTGGTATAACCAGCGCAACAGCCAGTGTACGCTTTGCTAGTCTTTCAGTCCCATCCCTTGCATCTAAAAGGCGCTTCCTTGCTCTGCTACGCATTGGTGTATGATAGTGTGTAGCCTTCTGTCTCGTGCTAAATTCCTTGTTGATATCATTGACTCGTGTTCCGGGAATGTCTTGACGGTCGTTTACTTCGTCATTTGTGCGAGCATGAGGAGTAGTTTGAGCGGTCGCTTGGGGGGTCGATTGACTAGCCTCGCGATGTTCCTGTACGGCCCTGTTGTCGCCATTTTGAAGATAAGCTCCAGTCTCAGAGACAGGTTGATGGCCATTCTCCTGTTGCTGATTTGACATGACCTCTGCAAAGTGCTCGATTGCCCATTCTCTCATTCGATACTCGCTAAGCGTTGAGTTGGGCTCAGACCCAGGGAACATATCGGCGATGTGCCCTGGAATTCTCGCGATACCAGTGAATAAGTCTGTTGTTACTCCGTAAAGTACTCCTGCAGCCGCCGTAAGAGGGCCTTTGGGATCACGGTTGGTGTCGTATTCTCGGGCTCGGAATCTATTGTCGTTAACCAGAATAATCTGTACCAGTTAGGACCGATTATACCTACAATTCCACATCACCCGGCTGAATATGTCCTGTATTCATTAAAATTGAAAATGCAAGCGCGCTCAACTTGACATGCGAGCGCTTAAGCCACCAAACAGCAGGTCTGTCGGGGCACACAGAGCACTGTATTTTATCGACGTCCAGATGCTGATGGAAGCTATGTACAGCATTCACCGACCCCTTTTCCAACTTCATTTTGGCCCCAATTTCCTCAGCACATTCCCGGGTTGACGGCTCTAGAGCTATCTTAATAGCATCTGCTAGTTTCTCGGCTGTGAGTTGTTTAAATGGTACCGGCGGTGGTCCAGCACCAGCCTTTTCCACAATAAAGCCCCAGAATGGCTGATCACCAAAGAACGGAACAATCACTGTAGGCCGGCCTAAGAGCAGCCCAGCAGCAGTGGTTCCAGCGCCTCCATGGTGTACAACACATGAGACATGCTTGAAGAGCCAATCGTGGGGACACTTGCCCAAGAGGAAGATACTATCAGGTATCTTCTCTTCTTCTGATCCAAGGTTACTCCATCCTTTAGAGATTAGTGCTCTCTGCCCGGTCTGGGTAACAGCATCAATGAGAATTTTTGTTAGTTTGCCCGGGTCCTCCACTACAATAGACCCAAAACCAATATAGACCGGAGGTTTGCCAGCCTTTAGAAAGGCATCCAGATCTTCAGGGGGACTGTAGTCTGATTCAGCTGGTAGCACCTGAAACCCGCATACATCAAGGTGATCTGGCCAATCTTGCGGTTTAGGGAGGAGAGAGGGCGACCTGTAAGTGTCAGCAAACCTAATAAGAGGCTAGAACTACCTCACATACCACAAATAGGTGTATGGAACTTGTAACCGGTGATTGATGCTGGGCGCCCGGATGGCATCCAACGGATCCAACCCAAGTTGCTTCTTGCGAAAGTGATTAATCAGGTCTCCAAGCCCTTCCCACATCATAACCTCGACAACTCCATAGGATGCGAAGTTCGCGGCAGATGGTTTCGTGCTCTGAGAGCGGATAGTTGCCAGGGGATGAGGAAAGGCTTGAGTCGGAGACCAGGGCATCCTACATTGATTAGGCATCTTAATGGGTAATATATACGCCTCTGGACTCACGTAAACATCATATTCAAGGGAATGCCCAATCTTTCGGCGCAACTGAGATGAACGAACGTCGGCGGATTGGCAATAATAACGTCAGCCACGAACGGCTGCATGCATTTGTCTACAGCCGCCGTTCCCGGACTCTCGGGGTTTTCATGCAACTGTGTCCCATCCCCAGTTTCGTAACAGGACCGCCAGCATCCCGAAAAAATGGTTTTCATTTCTCGTCGGCGTTTTCCAATCCCACCACTGCGTATTGTGCGCATTCCCGGAATCAATCCCGGATTCTGGACCATGAACGCCATCAACTGCTCGGGGTCGCCTCCAATGTTGAAGAACTCTAGGCCTGCTTCATTGATAGGGTCGCGGAACTCCAAGTGTGTGGCTAGTCGCACCCGATGGCCGTGCTTCTGAAGCTCCTTACCCAGTGCGATAAATGGCTGAATATCACCTCGCGATCCTACGACCTGCACTACGATGTTCAACCGAATAGGAAATTTGACCCATTTTTCTTCTTCTGTGGGACTTGGTATCGATGGTTTCTTCGTCTCAACGCCGGGCTTTGAACTCGGCTCCATCTGCTTCATTAATTGTGTAATCCAGCGTCTCTCCTCGCCAAATTTGATATCAAGTCGTCCATTGTCTGTTTCTCTATCGTGAGTCATGCGAAAGAGAGGAATATCTCAAACCCCGGAGTAACCTACCCAGTACACGCACCCCGCCTCTTAAGCCATGCTCCCTTACGGTTGCATGTCCTTCACCTAGAGAAGGCCCACTGCCTTCCGCTGTAATGCTCGTGGACTGTTGCGGCGCTGTTTGTGTTTCCATAACTTTATAGGTAGCGAAAGATTGTCAACCCAAATTGATTTTAGAGGAATTTGACCAGGCCAAGACCTTTGCGAACTCGGTGGTTTTTAAAATCACACATGGGCTTATTTTAGGTTCCATTGACTTTAGAACACGAACGGCGCCATCAATTTTAGCTTTATGATCAAATGCTGAATCCTATTACAAGGTCTGAGCCCTGCATAGAGTCTAATCAATCCAGTTTCCAAAATGGAAGCAATCCACCGGGATAAATTCCATACCGGATTGAAAAGACCGTGGAAGCCTATAGAGATACTGTGACGGGATTACACAAAATCAGAGAGAGCTAGGGTTAGACCTCGGCTGAACTACAAATACATCGAGCAGCATAGACGTATTCAACCCATGCGATAGCAAATTACAACACTATTATTGTTAACAATGTCGATGGGGATGATAGTACGGCCAGGGATGTAAACGTCATTGATTCGGGTGGCCGCTTCCGGGGATCCGATTTTATTTCAGCGACCCAATGAGTCAATGACACCGCCGAGCCGGGCCACCCCCGTATTCCACATAACCGTAACTCAGACACATCTATATCCCACCCTCAACGGAGTATAATTCAAGAAACCCTTACACATCCAAATTAAGCAGACCATTTAGTCTGGTTCAACACCCTGTAAGACCCCGGCACGCAGTCACCATTGCCCCAGAAGGCGTTAGCTGCCGCCGTCCAGGTAGTAGCTGGCTTGAGAAGGTTCTCTGCGGTGTAGAACAGACGGCAGTCAGCCGCCTCGTAGGTGAACTGCAGAGGCAACTCGTCGTCTCCGGGACGGTAGGCGTTCTTCAAGTTGACTTGGAATATACCACCGAGCTGCAGAGGCAGTTCTCCAGGCATGGTCGCGTTTAATTTGGCCCTCTCCAGGGGAGTGAGCACTGGCTTGCCTGCCTTCTCGGACTTGTCAGCCACGCGGTTGGCTGCATCGCGGTATGAATCGATGATGGCGGTTGGGGCAACCTGGCAGCCCTTGGAGCCCCCCAGGTCCTGCATAGGGCCGTACTGGGGTCGGCCACCGAAGGAGAGGGTCTTGACGCCACCTAGGTTCTTCATTAGCTCAGTGAAGATAGTGCAGGTGGATGTGCATAGTCCATCTGTGATCTGTCATGTCGTTAGTGAGAGTTTAGTTCATTGCAGTATGGACATACCTACGATAAGAATGTCCTCAGGAGAAAAAGGTGACTTGGTCATGTTCTGCTTGACAACACCGTAGCCGCGAACAGGCTGGTCCCAAGTAGACAGCTGGGTGAGGTTAAAGTTGGCAAAGATGCTGGTCACGTTAGACTCCACCAGTCCATGAGGGCCATAGAATTCCTTCCAGGTCCGGTACTCATAGGTTTGGTTTGGAGTAACGAAACTGGGCAGGCCGAAGTAGCTGGTTTTCTGGAAGGCGATATCGTCGGGCTCCTGCTCACGCAGGGCCTTTCCAACAAGGTCGATTGACTCATGGGCGCGGAATCGAGCCGCGGTCCAGACGTCCTTCTCTGGGAAGAAGAGCTTGAACAGATCGTATCCAGTGGAGATAACACCTCCTCCATTGAACGAAAGGTCAATGATTAACTTCTTCTTGCCCGCGTCAACAGCTTTCTCAATGAATTTGGTGGCATGCTTAGCAAATGCCAGTGCTTCGCCATCGGCCTCCGCGTCGAATGATGGGCTGAACAGTACGGCGACATCGATCCATTCAGAGTCCTCCAGGAAATAGCCAGAGAGCAAGTTGTATTCATCTCGGACGATGGGCTTCGGGTACATTGGTGACGCGGGTTGTTTTTTAGGAGTCTCTTCTTCATTACCACTCTGCCCCTCGTTGCTTGATTGAGGTCCTGGCAGACAGTAGTCCTTGAACATAGCCCGACTATTGCTGTAGCCAAAATCAAATTTAGCAGTAGGGACTGCAACTACTTCAACCTTGTGCCTCGTTCCATTCGCAAATTTTACGATATGTTCTGCGTGGCCCTGCCATAGACCCGAATCAAAGGAGAAAGCTCCAAAAGTAGCCCCCAGGGTAGGATACCGAGCCAGCGAGTCAAACACATAATTGTACCGTGCATCAGGGTCTTGATAAGTCTGGTGAGCTGCAAGAGTTTCGAGGTACGAGGCCGCCTTCATGCCGTTAATGGATACGATGGAGGAGACACGGTCGGAAGCTTCTTCCAAGAGCTTGAGATCATCTGCATAGTTGTCAGAATTAGAATTTCTAATGAAATTCCTTGGGAACGTACTGAAAGCGTAGATCTCAGGCAACTGCAGTCCATCTGATGAAGCCGAAGCAAGAGGGAAGTCATTCTTGAATTTGAAGATATTATGAGAGCAGAGTTGGATAGCCAGGTGACCGTCATTGGCGGAACTTAAAAGCTTTTGAATGTCATTGTCGAACTCGTACTGGCTCTTGTACTCCTTCTTGACGGCCTTGCCGTGTATGTAGTCTAGACCAGCCATTATATCGACGGGAGGAGACAAGTACCCTAAAGGTGGATCTATTACACGATTAGCAGACTCATTGTGCTTCAAGGGATAGAAAGAGAACACTCACTCTTGAGGTTATCCACAGTCGAGTGCCATTGCATGTACTTCTTCACCTCTCTGGTGAAGCCAGCAGCTCGATCAGAGTCAAATGGCAGAGACTCAAGGCATTCATGTGCCAACCGGGCAGGGACAACAGGAACGGCTGCGTATCATTAACTACAACACCATGAGGGGACAAAACTATCTGCACTTACTCAGATTTGCCTCTGCAGCTTGCTTAATCTCTTTAGTCACCAAAGCACATGGCTCTTTCGAGGAGCCACTGGGGGCAGCAGCAATGGAAAGAGCCCCTGAGAGAGCCAAAAGGACAGAAGGTTTCCAGAACATTTCGATTGTTCTACGAAGAATGATGATAGAGGAAAGTAGTCTTCTCTGGGTTACAATGATATAGGCTATTTATGCCCTCGTCCTGGTCCTCTTTTGGATACATCATTACTTAAAGCTGTGAGCGAACTTTGCAACCGGGGCTCATCCTTCGGGTACAATTCGCAAGCCGTAACGCGTAGATCGATATAGATAGGATACCCTCTAAAATGTTCCCCAACAAGATTGCGGCCATTCAAGGCCACCAATAGGTCCGTTGCCTTGTTGAACTCGAAATTACAATTAAAACACAGATAGCGTGATGAAATTTCAGTCCGCAAGCCTGTGGAGAGCACAATGCGCCAGGAGACAATAATATGCCAAATCGTACTAGTGTATGTATACACTTAAGCAGGGACAGGCCGTTGTCATGGTGGGGATAGGAGCTTCAGGCCATCCCACACGGGCTCTGCGAGGTTTGTTTGGGCACAGTATGGGGGCCGTGTGAGGCTGTGAACTGCTAGGGATAATTTACTCCTGCCCTCCGGGTAATCCGGAGTACAATAGGGCTGCGGATATCTGGATCGATAGACTAATTGGTGCTTAGCACGAATCCCTAGTTTAAATTCCACTCACGAACGCAGTATTCCGTATGTAAGGACCTTATACAATATGTGTCTCTTGCAAAACCAGGCGCTATTATCCGCAACGTATGCATTTCTGTCTCCTCCCACAGTGAGTGTAGTAAAATATAGTCATACTATAAGGTTGTTTCACTCTGCATTGGAGCCAAAGACTTATCTAATGAGTCCACCCGCGGAGTGTGGGACGCTTGTTGGAAGAGTTTTCCTGTGTTGATTCCTTTCGGCCAGCTGAATACGCGTATGAGCTAGTATCACTAATCTATGGATAAGGATCTATTTATATTGAAAAGGAAGGTTTCTAGCTATCTGAATCCATCTGGGAGAACTCGATAAAACGGTGAATACAAGATGCTGAATAATAAGTAATATTGGCCCATCTAAAGCATGCCACGACATAGTCGTTCCCCTGCATTGGCAATGCTTCAAGGCGATGCCTCGGTTCCAGACTGCAAGCCACTTCTGCCGGAGTTCGTCGAATACTACGTACACCCTTTGCACAGGCATGTGTATAAAGGGGGATAGTTTTATTGGGGTTGCCTCACGTGATGAACACGTTGCAGAGTAGGCTTCCTGGTCTCGGAGGCCTTACTGAGGGGTTCTTCCCTCCTGCAATAGGGAATCAATTGTCCGCCTCTGCCTCGTCATCTCTCACGCTGTCAAGTCTCGGTTTACCCCCGCCTTCCCTCTGTATATAGATTATAGAACCACTGCAATATACAGACATTTCACCGCCCCACAGGGGAGTGCGGATGGGGCCCTCTTTGACGCTACGGTCTAACGCGCTTACTTCTAAGACCGCAGCGACAGGTGACCCGTTGCGGCCAAACCATTCACACACTCTCTCTCTTGACTGTGTGTGTTGAAGAAGTGGTATTCGGACCGATTCCTTCCTAGCGCCTTGGCTACGTACAACGGTATCAACCCAGAATCCTCTATCCCAGTTAAGAGAAGAGAAGAGTGTGGCATCTAGATGAGACGTTGAATATATATCTAGTTGAATATATACGCTCCTTAGTAGGCTACGTGCGTGTAGCTGGTATAGCTTCTCCTGCCCTATTCCCCATTTCCCCTGTGCACTGTGGACCGTATCGAGGTTTTCACAACAGTGTGAGGTCACCAATAAAGGTAAAACTATAATCTGACAGGTCCACTCTGAACAATGGTAGGAAACCTTAGCATAATAGTCCTCCAATCGTTTGTATTACATATAATACCCTGAAGAAACGCCACGGAATTGTGGTGGAGTACCTAACCATGTCCATTGTCCATCAGCTATATGAGGCTTATAAAATGCAAGCTGAAGTGGATGATTATTACCTAAATAAATTTATAACAAGCGCATCAATTGCTTCGGAGTAACTCCACGATATCGACATTTCTAACCAGCACTAGTTAGTTAACTAAAATCAATATATTCAGGTTCCAGAACATACCTTACTAGAGTTGTAGCCATTGCAACTCTATCCTTCGGTGCCATTCAGGACGCCGTGCCATCGTGAAAGTCTCAGGGGCGCAACGCACTTCTTCAGTGTAACATTACGATCTCCAGAGGAATGCTGCGTCTTGGTTAGTGAGCTGATCGATGCGCATACCTGCCTGCCCTGCCTACCTTGTGAATTGTGACAAACCCGGAGCTGGTATATCAGATTTCGAATCAGCAGGTATATTTCCCCGTCAGGAACACTACAGAGCTGGCAGCAACATGCCGAAATAAAGGGCTGTTAGGTTGACATGTTATATGCTCCTCTGACATCGAAGCTGACTAGACTGAGGACTTTTCCCGCTCTCTATGCGTCATGTCGTCTCCACCAAGATATTCAGTTCTCGGTCACAGAATCGCTACCTCCATGATCCAAAGTGGTTGGAAGGTTTGGGGGGCATGTGAGGCTGTGAAGCTGCTAGGCGTGATGTGCCCCGAGTAATCTGGAGTACAGTAGGACTGTGAGCTTCTGGATCAATAGACTAGTTGACTCTTGTGGTGCTTACTCCGTTTACGTTGCCGGATGCAGTATTCCGTATGTATGAACGTCCTTCAAAATGTGCTATTTGTAAGACCAGGTCCTGTTATCCGCGACATTCAAGTATCTATCTCCTCCCACTCTGAGTGTAGTAAACTGCTGCTTTCACCATACATTGGAGCCGGAGGCTTCGCAGAGTAATTTACCAGGAGAAAGTGTGGCTTAGAAGATTTCCCGAGGGAGTGTTGTTTGTTAATTCCCATATTCCCTGTTGCCCAGAGTATACTACTGCATCTACGATGCTTCATGATGATCTTTCTTTGCAGACTGTAAGCATAAATCTATTGGCGTTTGTTCAATACTACGTATATTAACACACGCCGCATATGTATGAAGGTAAAAATATGCCTGACTGAAAGACTTTACAAAATGGAAGGAAACCTTTGTATACTCGTCCTCCAATCAGTCAGCATTACGATCCATACGTCGGAAATTATAGTGGGATGCCTAACCATGTATGAGGCTTATATTATGGAAGCTGAAAAGGATGATTATTTACCTAACCTAATCTATAAGGAACGCATTCGGAGAATCTCCGCCACATCGACCTTCCTAATTAGTACTAGTCTATATAATATTTCAATATTACTGCTGTAGTCGACTCGCTTCAGTCGCCCAATCAACTTCATCATTCCCATTTAACCGGTTAGACTTGAATTAAATTGCTCACTTGTTATGTTTCAGGGCCCGCAGCCTGCGAAGCGCGGTCTTCTAGTAAAATAATAAGGGTTACTCTGAATCCAACTATATTTTTTACGTTAGAAAATCTCAGTATGTGCTGAAAACCAAAATTTTCAGTGTTTGGCGTGTCAGGATGATTTTGCAACCTGCTGTATTTGTAACGGAATGGGAGCAAAAAGACACGGATCGACATAACTCTGCCCTCAATGAACACCGGCAGGATGAACAGCTCGCTCCCTTACGCACGGAACCGAGCCTACTTGCTTACGCAATTCCTGACCGGACACTCATGGCTAGCAACACATGGCAAACTGCAAGTGCGAATGCGGGACTAAAGAAACGATAACGCATATTCTAGTGGACTGCCCAAGATTGAAAGACCTGCGAGGAACTACGAAGGAAAATCGGAAGTGCGTTCAGCAACATTTCAGATATGCTGGGAGAAGGAAGAATCCAAGGTAAGGGAAATACATTGCAAGGCGCCACGCATGAGAGCAGTATCTTGGGTGCCGTGCTGGACTTTGTAGATGCGTCTTAGCCGTTTCAAAGTCGCACGCCAGGAGTGCGCAGAACAGAACGCCAGGCACTTATGCTGCCTCGGGCCTTGACGGGGCTCTAAATTCCAAGTTAAGTAATGGATCACTGTACATAGATACATATAGATAGCTAGATAGCGACAGTTGTATCCTGCATATTGTCGAAGCTGAGGGGCCAGGGTATGAAATCACCACCGAGACTACTTTATTTGTACAGCCGAGAGGGTTGGTGACAGCACTTTTTAGATGTTATGAGTTCGATTCCCATCTCCGGCACATCATTTACCATCCCGAACAGAATCACAACACAATACAAGCCCCTCCCTTATCGCAAGGAGACGGGGAAATAGAACAATCGCAGGCTTGAGGGCGAGGCTCCAAGTTTGCACGCATGAAATGGTACAATGTGGCTAGACACACAAAGATAGAAATAGTGGTTAGTTTGCATATCGTCCAATGCGAGGGGTCAGCGTATGAATACTACTACTACTATATTTGTATGACACATGGACTGGAGTTGTTCAACATTTATAATTCTTGGAGTCGCTGATTACTTTGTATATGTAGGATTTGCCTGGATGTGCAACATAGAGTTGAAATATAGGGTTGTGTGCTGTTTGGGATTTGTCAAATCCTGGGCGATATGGTTTGCAACACCTCTCCAACTGTCCAGGCATCATGCCATAAGCCTACAAGGCTCCCTGTGCCTTCAGAGGCTACACTAAAGTTCAGGCGACAACTGGTGCCTAATCCACAAACCAACCAAGAATAGACTAGCGCTACTTGAATCTCGGTGGTATAAAGGGTTGAAAGCCGTTCATCAAGCGCTTCCACCAGACATTTCCACCATTTGTTTCCAGCAGATATTTCCCGTGATATTCTGATTGTGGGCAAAACACAAGAATTGCGATTTATCAAGACGAACAAAGAGCGATAAACACTTGGCTGAAAAATGGTACTTGTCTTGCCACCTGAATTAGTGCTGGAAGCTGCAAAACATCTGGATCATGGGGATCTCTCACGTTTGGCGAGGGTGAATCATTCGACTTACGAGATTGTACAGCCTGAGGTCTATAGATATGGTCTGCCATGCTTTTTCCTTATGTGATAATTACTAGTATGCAGAGTGCTAACTTTATAAAGGAGCTAAGTCCTGCTCAAAAGGAGTCACCTGTCTCCATACAGCCGCCCGTCAAGGACATGAACGGGTTGTACAGGGGCTGCTCCAATTCGGAGCTGATATCCATGTACTAGATTATAGCGATGATACACCACTTCATGATGCAGCCCGTATGGGCCATTTCGCGGTGACTCGAATCCTTATAGAGCAGGAAGCAGATGTTAATTTAAAGAATAATAATGGTCAAACACCTCTTCATTATGTAGCTGTCGGGGGCCATTTGGCTATATTTCAACAATTGATTGACCATGGTGCTACAATCGAGGGGACGGACAATGGTGGCAACACTACCATCCATCATGCTGCGGGCTGTGGCCATGTGAAGCTAGTCAAGGCACTGGTTAATTTAGGAGCTGCAATCCAGGAGATTAATAGTGACGGAAAAACACCCTTGCACCAGGCAGCTGCTGGGGGTCATTTGAAGGTATTGCAGCTATTAATTGACAATGGTGCTGTAATTGAGGGAAAAGATAATACTGGCAACACTCCCCTCCATCATGCAGCAGGTGATGGCCATGTCGAGATTGTTAAGCAACTACTGACTCTTGGAGCGGCTATCGAGGAAAGAAATTATAGAGGTGAAACTCCTCTGCACAGGGCAGCTGGTGCCGGCCATTTAAAGGTGTCTCAGCAATTAAATGACCACGAAGCCCTGATTGAGCCGGTCGATGATAGCGGGAACTCTCCCCTTCATCTTGCAGCGCGCGGTGGCCGTACAGAAATTGTTGAATGGCTTATAGCTCGTGGCGCATTCATCAATTCACAGAACAACTATGGTCGTACTGCTTTACACTGCGCAGTTGATGGTTCTCAACCAGACACTGTTCAGAGATTGGCCGGATTGGGGGCAACTATCGACGTAAAAGATGCTGACGGCTTGACCCCCCTTCAACTTGCAACGGGACACCCCAATACATGTGTAGAAATTGTTCGCACATTGATTGAGTACGGGGCATCTATGGATGCAAAAAATGAAGATGGCGATTCAATCCTTCAAGCTGTAATCGCTTTATATGAGGAACTATGTATGGAGCATAGTCATCAACAAGAAATTGACGAAGAATACTGGGAAGGGAGTAGTACAGGTTCAGTTTTTGAGAGCACAGAAACTGGCATTGCTCGAGAGACGAAAGAGTCGATGAAAGAGGTCGTGCTATTTTTGATACAACATGCTGGCCATAACGTATCTGAATTCCCTGAATTAGAATTATCTGATGCTGGTCTCTCAGACCCAGGCAACTCTGACTCAACCGACGGGGCTTCGACTGATACTGATACCACCAACTCTTAGGAGTGGGTGTTTCCGGTGAGCGAGCAAAGTACAGTTATAAGGTTCATGGTTGGAGCTGGGAAATTCAAAGGCATACTGGGTTTAATTGGGTTAGGATTATTGCAATTGTAGGACTAGTTATCTTTCTTGATTTCTAGTACGGAAGCACCATGGCCGCTAATGATTGTGCTAAAACTAGAACTAATACCAGAAATTTTGTTGTAAAGTGACACCAGTATGCCTCATGCAAGAGACAGTATGGCAAGTAGAGCATAGCTACAGACCAGAGTAATGCATACAATCGGCTATCTTGGTCTTGGCTACCACTGTATCCTGGTACCATAATAACATTACAGAGTCACTCAGATCGTACATCAGACACTCTACCACAACGTAGGTCCTGTGCACAGCCCAGCTGAAGTCTATAAAATGCCCTCCAGTGCAAGCCTGCCGTTTTGTGGTTGTCCAGCCATTCAGAATATTTCCTTATTAGGATTAGTGTTATCATATTTGGCCTAGCTTTCTGGGACACTTCTATTCTCCTATTGGTTTTGTCTTGCGTCGATAGCGCACGTGCTTTTGCTACGTACTTTCTTTTGGTCTTCTTTTAATTGGTATGCCTTTATATGCACTGCACATGCTCGAGTGCGATACGAAGCTCATGACCTCTCCTCTTACAAAAGGATACCTCTGGCTGGTTCATCCTAACTTCCCTTTTCCTGCGTACATTCTTGTACTTCAAGACCTAAGAAAGTGGCCGACCGAGACCGAGCGTCATGCCGATAAGGCCTGGGAAGCCATGAGCGACAACTACGCGACCCGCATGATGAATGAGAAGACAGGCAATAACCCTTTGTTTATTTTCTTTTCTCGACTTGTTATCCAAGCCTGAGAGGAACGGGAGGAGCTATACAGACGAGAGAATAAGCCGCTGGAGACACCGCGTATCATGTTAGACATCCGGGAGAAGGGTACGCAGGTGGTATGTAATTTCCTGTCAACCAGGAATGACGAGCAGTCCAGCGATGCAGTTGGCATGAATGTCAACAATATGCCAATGCCCATCACCATAGACTTCAGTAGCCATGGCCTGCAGTCCGGCACCGTCATGTCCGGACAAGCTGCGATGGAAGTCGACATGGATCAGATTGACTGGACGACGATAGACTGGAATTCAATACACGCTCCGGGGTGGTAGTCCTATTCACGGCGTCGTATGGTGGTAACGATCACCGTTCACCTACGATCTACCATGAAGACTGTAATATAGACCTTGTTAATTTGACAAATATATCTAGGTTCCCTGATGCTTTGAATTTCATAATTCACTATATGCTTAGTAATTTCACTAATAAGTCAGTGTGGCCGAGTGGTTAAGGCGATGGTCTAGAAAACCATTTCGTTCGCGAGCAGAGGTTCGAATCCTCTCGCTGACGACGTTCTTTTTCCTCTAGGTTTTTCTTTTCCTCTGTAGGCAAAGTTGAATTATTATTTTACCCAACCACAGATAGTGTGATGATGCTGAATCAGTCACTCATAATATATAAACAATATGTTTTCCGCTTCGAGAATAGTGGAGAGGGTTACTTTTCAATTTCTGATTATTCTAACATGAATATACTATCCAACCACTAAAACCGCATGAGCTCTGGAGAAGCCATAACTTGGTGCTATCATGGAAAGCTGTGTGTCAAGGGCTGAACCCATAGGACCTTAGGATAGGCTACGTACAGAAAGGAATCATTGAAGGGGAGAAAGAAAGAGGAGAAGTAGCGGTAAACAAATAATATGAAAAGTCACGTAATTATGGGTCGAGGGCCAATGGGGTAGGGGCAATAGGGACAATAGGGACAATAGGCCCGAGAAGTCAAACGAGCCCCAGCCCTTTACACTGTGAGTATTTCCAATATTATACTAATCTCTCACCGGAAAGACCACAAGCCTGGGTTTTTGCCATACTATGCTGGAACATAGTCATACCGTCCTGTCGACTCGTTGACAGCAGAGGCTGTTTACTCTTTAGCATGGACTTTTCGGAAGACATCAATATTCTGACATAAACGCAGTGTTTGGGATAGGTGGCCAATCCTGCTTCTTTCGGTGCAACTGGGACGGCGCAGCAAATTCTTGTGAAACTGTTATGGTTAGTACGTATATATTATTGTCAATTCGAAATATACGATTCTGGCACCTCAAAAACCCATTGGCACTAGGAGAACCACAATATTGGTACAACATGTCGCATTCAGATGGTATTTTATATTGACAATTATTTATTACACTCAAGAATATTACTTATAACACACACACCTGAGATGGGGCCAGCGGCATAAAAAATACCGTTCGGCTATAAACTGCACTATGAGCTCAATGCGAGCACTGATTCGGTATCCTACGTATATTCTACCGTATCTTGACAGGAGCTTTTCAGCAAAGTATCAGTAACTTGGTATTGCCACCAAATAAAGGGAATTGTGGATTTCCTAGTAGCTTTTCCACGTCCCATGTTTGGCACCTTTTATTGGTAACATGGACATTTAAGCTAAATCATGCATATTATATCTCTATGTATGACCTTTGTATCCACTCCTGCGGACTGTCATAGATCCCTATTGTCATTGTGCAGCCATTCAGCACTTCGTTAAGAGGTTATATTCTATGCTTGTGAATAGTAAATCAGCAGATAATATACTATACCGTGGGTGGTTTCTATCTATATCTAAATCTTCGCAAAAGTCAGAAAGTTAAATGCCAACTTCCGGATCTGCAAATCAAAACCCATGAATTCTTTAAACTTGAGGAGTGAGTAGCATTCCTAATTGTACTGTAAGCTTTACAGTGGAAGCAGAGAAGCGGTGGAGGAAAGATAGCATCCTTAGGCCAAGAATGTTTTAATATCGCTATAATAGAATAGATATGTGAATTCAGCTCCATATACTCTCGGTACGCGGCTTGGTAGGAGGCTGCTTGCCACTACTGGAGCTCCCATGGCCGAATAGACCTCCTATTCCGTGGCCCCTTTTATCACTGCTAGAGGAAGCGCGACTGCCAATGCTCCTAGAGCCCCCGGGAGAGCAGAAGTGGGCTTAAACGCCGACAAGAAGAAGAGACAGAGCAGGCATAGTGCCAACTGGTTTGTCACCAGGCGTGTAAGCTGCATTGCAGCAAAATAAAGAATGACAGATAATACGTGACAAAAGGAAAGATGCTTGAATTGAAAGAATAATATCGACTATCTAAGATAGACCATCGTGAACTTTATATTTATCTATGCCATCCTCTCCTGCTCACTTTCATCATTAGCCTGTATACTGAGAATTATTTGCACTGATTTTGGACCAACCGTTAATTATGTTTGGGCGACATCTCAGCAATAGTTAGCGCCATTATACCTTAACCCGACAGTGCAATCACATCGACTGGACTGAAGCCCAAGACAAACATGAGTTGTAACTATTGTGGGGGATTATATGATGCACCACAAAACCACGATTTGCATGTTGGACCGAGAAATATCAGCTGACGAGTTTGGCAAGCGGTTTTCCTTTCTGGCGTACACATAGTCCCATTTAGGAAGATAAAAAAATTTTCATATGAGGCGATGGAATCTGTCGATCGTAAAATTACGCGTATTCGCAAGTATCGATCCTTTATTGAATTAGGTCTCTGATTCAACTAAACTACCAAAACATCTCGCGTTTATAAAGGCGAGGTAACAAATGATGAATGCAAACTAACTAATATAGGAAATATACGCGATCCGATGATGTTGTATCATCAATAACACTGAATAATCAAAATTACCATAATTGTCGACAGAATCCAATGTTGGGGGTATAGTCCGTCGATATCGGAGACTCCTAGCTTTGGGCCCCAGCCGCATCCGGTGAGCACTCATCGGTGTTGTATATCCATGTAGAATGTTAGTTCGAGAGCCGACCAGTAGGCCGTTAGTTTCCCACCGGATGATCTTGATAACAGTGCTGAGTAGAAGAGTAAGAAAGAATATGGTTGGAGGGTTAACGAGGTCATGGTCCGACACAGGGACGCGGCACACCAAGAAGTGGTCGTCAACACAGCCCCCGCGCGCCGTTGCTCTTAAGAAGTAAAGTGCCTCGCTAGTACTTCCATCGTTCGCTTGTCCTGCTGCACAGGAAGATCTAAACCATGCTATCTGATGCCCCCTTGGACTGCATTCCGACCGAAGTGATTGTGTCAATTTTCACTGCCCTTCCCTCATTCTCGGATGTAGCATGGTTCGCGGCCACTGGACGACGCTATCACCGAGTGTGGAACAACTATGCTTACCTGATCTATCAGCAAATCGCCCCCCGGACAATACCCTGTCGCCGACATGCGCGCGTTCTGTTGGCTGATCAAGGGGGCCCCCATGCAAGTGTCACGAACTTATCCTTCCCACATGTTCTCCAGTTGATCCGGAATGCCGCTATCCTGGATCGATCAGCGAAGGACTTTAACAAGCATCATCGACAGCGCGTCTACGGTACAGATCCCGTTACCTTCCGTTCCCCGGGCCCAACACCTTAGCTGCTATATAACTTGTAAGCTAATCATCCCTATAGAACTTCCTCCATTTCCACCAAACCGCCCCCATCTGTCTCCCACCGAACGCCCCCGTTTTATTCGCGGTCTGTACCAGCTATGGGGTTTGGTGCTTCAAGATAACCCGGAGAAAAGGAAGCAGCGTATCCACGAAATAAAGCTCAAGGATCTGTTAGTTGTCCGCGACCTAATCCTGGGAAACGTGGTGCGTATCCCAGCACCTATTTTTCTCGATATGGAGAGCCCTGGCCTGGCCTTTGAGCTAGTATATCTAGACATGTTGCCGAGGCTAGAACAACTTCTGGATGAGCTATACGGAGAACCCATCGGTTGCTTGTTCCAGCCGTTTTCAGATGGCCTTATGGGGCATATGAGCATCTGGGATTCGTATTATAACGAGTTTAAGAGTATGATGCTCAAGGGGTTCCAGCACAAATACCCCAGCCCGAACCCACAGACGGTGTGGGATGATACCGACGACGAGGACTGGGTAAAGTGATCCCAGTGGGACAGTTGCAATATATTGTCTTCCGGAATCCATCACTGGGAATCACTACGGGGCTTACAGGTGCTAGTTACATGTCTAGTTATGTGCACTATCATAGATCGGCCACCGATTAAGGACCGCCGAGTCGCATTGCAGGGTCTTAATAAATATGTTAGAGCATGGTGGTCACCAATTAGAAACAAAAAAAAGGACTGTTAGAGAAGCAGGGACAAACAACCTGGGCTGAGAGAGGGATCCTACGAAGCAGCTGATATTGTGTTGCGGAGAATTTAGGATCCTTTAAAGAATGAGGAAGGAATGTATTATACTATTAAATATAATAGAGTATTTTCTAAGGGCGAAATTAACCAGCTAGGCATATTATTACTAAATTGCTGCAGCTGATGTTTAGAGTAGCCGTTGTGAATATTCCCAACGCTTAACAATAGTAATACTACAACAACCTCTTATACTACTATCCTGCTATAATACATTCACTCCTCCCCTACACATCCAACAGATCAAAACCCCACTGTTGCATTTGAAGCTGGTCGAACCGACCACTCAGATCCACCAGCAACTTTGGCGTCTTCATGTGACGTGCAATGCCTTGCCATCGCACCTGGTCTGGCCCGAACTCTTCCCGATCTGTAATTACCATCACGGCATGGCAGTCCATACAGGCCATCTCCGCGGAATTGGCCACAATAAATCCTTTCCGAGCATCGGAAATACAGAGTCCTTGATCAGTCCAGTTGAAATATGGCTCAAAGATGCGTATTTCAACACCTCTCTGCGTCAACTCACGCACCAGACCAATAACACCGGACATATCACCCATGTGTTTACTTGTCATCCCCAACAGCGCCACTTTCTTCTCGACAAGAGCTCCTGAAATCCGACCAACTACCCTCTGGATCATCCATGCCGGCTGAAGTTCATTCATGCGAAGGACACTCGCCCAATAGTCCACGATGTCAGACATCCCCAGCTCTCGAGCCAAATACACCAGACACAGTAGATCCACTCGTTGTGAGGCACTAAACCCTAGTCCCGCACGCTGGCTTAGTCCCAGAATTTGGGTGATATGGTTGATCTTCGCGTTGGTGGATTCGCAGAGCAGACTCAACGAGTTCAAACTGGTGATCTGCTGAGCCAGAAGCGCACTGGCAACGAGTTTGGACAGCTCAGCCGACCATGCGTCCATGGTGATGATTCTCTCCTCTGAAACAAAGGGCGTGTATAGCCGTCTCACCGCTGTCAGAGCTTCGGGGGACATATCCTCAGAATAGACGTGTCCGATGACAATCCTCGGGGGATATAAGAGGTCACGGAGGGCAGAACCGGGAACCACAAAGTCAGGGTTGGATAGAACATCGAATGATGCGGATGGTGAGGCTGTCTCTTTCAGCTGCTTCTGTTAGATTTCTTCCTCGATGGAGGTAATTCGCACGTACGAAGTTCTTGATGCGTGGAATCATACCACATGGTGCGGCGGCTTTCTGGACTATGATCTTATGTCCTGTTGAAACTTGCGCAATGGCCTGGAGAGCGGATTGTATATGGGAGAGGTCTAGACCATGCAACTCTTCACTCTATTCGTCCGTTAACGGAATGATGTGGTGATGGTCATGGAGCTTACCTTTGTGGATGATCGGGCCTCGGCGCAGAGAAAGATCAGATCGGCCACGGTGACGCCGGCATGCACGTTCGTCGAGAAGTTGATATTCTTGAGCTTTCTGGCGCGTGGTAGCTGCGAAACAAACGCCCCAAATTCTGAATCTTGATCGACTGCACCGTTCTGCGTAGGACTGGATTCTGTGGCATCTTCAAATAGCATCTCTTCCAGTCCAGGCTCAGGAACCGGCACTCGATCCGAGTTCCACGCCGCAATCAGTTGCTCATCACTATCGACAACATGAAACGGAATATGTGGATTTTGTGACGCCAGGACGATCGCCGTCAAGGCACCTGAACATATTAACAACAGCAACATCCGACAGAGATGGGACACTCACCCATGTACCCGGCACCGATTACACACACGCACCGAGCGTACTTGACCCTCTCCGTCCTCACCACAGGCTGAATTTGAACATCCTCTACGCTATCGAAATAGGTATGTCCCTTGACCACGACAGGCGGCGTATGTGACTCACGCTTCTCGATTGCCTTGCACTTGCGTTTCGAGAAGAAAATCGTCAACCCGGCTAGGACCAGTAGCAGCGGGAGGAAGGGCATCATGGTGGGAGGCCTTGGATCACGGTTCAGAAAATGAACTACGTACTCTGTGTGATTCTGATCGATTCTCAGTCCGGTGGTCTATACCAAGACCCCCAGTGGTACCTCTGGCAAAGAGCGGTCTGCACAAGCCACCTCATCTCCATTGCGAATCCGTCGGAGATTTGACTACCAGTCCTGTGATGTTTATGATGGGATTTCATGAGTTTGATGGTTTCGCTACGTGGCTTGACTTGGCGGTGGAGATTTATTGGTTTTGTTCTATTTTCGGGTTTGACGTGGCATATTTATGTCACCTACTCGAATCGCAATCTGGTGTGGTATTTCTGTCCTGAACACTAGGATGCCTATTACGACACAGGAGAGAATTCCGACCATGATTACTCGGCAAATCCAGAGGAACATAAGAGCATTTTCTGCACATGGCTCCATATCAACAAGCACCTTGGAAATACACCCGAAAAGTGATCACATTCCTGTTTCTACAAGACGATGCAAATCGACCAGAATCGATGTCCCGAATAATAGAGACTTGATCGTTCAGAATACGCGTCCTATCCAGACACACGCAATCAATAAAACTTCCTCCCTCAAGCTTGACCACCTGCCCATCATATACCTCCTAGAGTGCATCCAATATATCACTGCAGAAATGCCCATTAAACCGACGAAAAGAACACAAGCCCAGTTGAAATTTTCTGCATTGATTCGGAGCTCATTGGGCCAGAAGCTCCAGGAGAACCACTACGTAACATATACCATGTCCACATTCCCAATCGACCCAGTGACCAGCGACAAGAAGCTAGCGGAGGGTTATTGTTATCCTGTGCAGGATAATACATCCAAATGAGATAAAGCAGGTGGCCATCAAAGCTGTTGTGGATAGCGAGAGCATGGCATTGAACGCTACGGTGGAGCCGATATTAATTAGGGACATAACCATGGAGAATACACAGGCGAATATGATTCAGTTAACTGGGATATGCAAAATGGGAAGAACCAAATACTCTTAGCAAAGAAAATAAATCGATTTCAAGGGGAAGTACCGCTCCAAGCCACCGAGAGAAGGAAGCCCATGTTCCGGGCAAAGGCGAATGTCTGTCACGATGCAGATGCCAAAGAGCTAATGGTAATGATAATCAGGAGAATAAGTATAACCACTACCAGGACCGTGGATCCAGCAGTATTGTTCAATGCTTGTTGGGAAATGTAGATAAATGAAAATCCGGTTTGTGACTCCATAGCACCCTGAATATCGGGCATACACAGGCATTCTCAATTTCCTCAACTGGAATCGGTTACAGACCGTTTCATATCTTCGAACGAATGACTTACACTTATGTGCCACCGAATCAGAGCCTATACCACCACGTCAGTTGAGAGTAAAGTACTGATAAAGGACTTACTCAACACAATAAAGATGCAGGAAACCTATCCCACCATAACGGTCGACAAGGTTGATGGCCATCCAACGCTGTTACCCGTAAAACCTGTGAAGGCATCCTATGCGCGGACCCCAGGAGCCAGGACGAAGGGTGATAATCAACTTGATGACCGCATAAAAATAGCATGTAACAAAGATCACTTCCGCTAAAGGAAGATGTTTTGGCGCGAAGATATTAAATACCGACATGATAATTGCTGCAGCAAATACCAGCAGTGTGCCCGGCCAACGGGTGGGAGAGTATGACCTATTGTTCAAGGAGATCAATTCCTGCACATCGGTCTCTACCAGATAGGCATCACGCGCCACGACACTTTACCAGGAGATTGTTAAAAGCCATCCTATTCTATTAGTCTTGATTTAACTCGCTTGCAGATTCGACATACCTGATGTGTAGCTTAGGAATTTCTGGTATTGTCGAGGAGCAGGTTCAGAAACCCACTGGGGATTTGCTTAATGCATTAACAGCACATCATTATAGCCTTTGTATCCGCTTCACAGCATTCCCGTATACGACGTGGAACGCCAAGATGATTGGATAGAGAACTAGGTAGAAATCTTAAATAACTAGGCAACATCATTAGGTAATCCCTAATATGAACATAGTTATATATTTCTATCGACTGAAACTCAAAACACGAACAACTCCAAAAAAGTCATCAAAATGTCCTCCTCCGTACAATCAGCATGGAAAATTATTCCCATGTTCCACTCGCTTAACATTTCCCACACCGTCGACTTTTACACTCAACGGCTCGGCTTTGAGATCGGAGAGGTGAAGCCCGACCCGTCGGATGAGAAATCAGAGACCTCAGAACCATATTTCTGCTCCCTCTTCATCGGCAAAAAAGCAGACGCGAATCTCTACTTCTCTCTCAATAGGGAGGAGTTCAAACCCACACAGGCGTTGATTGCACTGGGTACGGTCGAGTTGGATGAGTATTACAAGTACCTGAAATGTCGCGGGGACGTGGAAATCACCGATGAACTGGAGGACACGGACTGGGGATGGAGATGGTTTACTATTAAGGATGATGATGGGAATTCTTTGACGTTTTTTAAGTTTTTGGAGGGGGGGAATCCGGGGGAATAGATTTTACTATTTACCGGTATTTACTTTTAACCCACATGTATGGCACTGGGTAAAACTAGCTCATCCTGTGTTATATAAGAATTTATTTTTTTTAAGGTCGAGGATTTATGGTCCATATTTGTACTCAGGAATAATGTAGTGCATTTGTAGTGCATTGCCATTCAAATACCGAAAGACCACCGTCATAGAAAAAAAAAAAAAGAATAATGAAACAAAGAAAATATTACAAATCCTATTAATCTACAGTGCACGGTCTAATCACTTTTCCCTTGCTGCGCCAACAAATTCAATGCACTCCCTGCCAGAACAAACCCACATTGATCCGGACTCAACGTATGACGAACTGGAATGTCCACCGTCTCACCCGTCCGCTTCTGCACACGCAGCTGGATCTCTCCCTTGCCGCCAGACTGCAGCACATCGTACAATCCAACTGTCTCGACCGTATCGCATGCGTCGATGCGATCGTAGTCCGCTGGGTTGGCAAACGTCAAAGGCACCACGCCCTGCTTCTTCAGGTTGGTCTCATGGATGCGAGCGAAGCTTTTGGATACGATGATCCGTCCCCCCAGATACCGCGGCTGCAACGCGGCGTGTTCTCGCGCACTACCTTCGCCGTAGTTCTCTTCGGCCACCACCAGCCACTCGATGCCTCGCGCCTTCCACTGTTCAGCCAGCTCGGGGATCCCGTGCGGTTGGCCCGCCTCGTCGTATGCTACGTTGGTTTCCCCCGTCGCGGCATTGACGGCGCCGATCAGCGTGTTGGCGGAAATATTGGGCAGGTGGCCCTTGTACTTCAACCATGGGCCGGCCGCGGAGATCGTATCTGTAGTGCACTGACCGCGCACCTTGTAGAGCACCTTCAGTCCCGACAGCTCGCCCGCAGGGAACGGGGCAAAAGGCTCCAGCAGCGCCAGGCGCTCCGACGTGGGCGACACGATGACATTGCAGTTCGGGTCGGGTACGGCGGTCGTCGGCTGGAAAGCGGGATTGCCATCGGCGAAGCCTTGGCTTGGGAGAGCATGGCCCGTCGGCGGCTGGAAGCGGAACTCGCCGCCCGACGGCGTTGGTAGACTGTCGGTCATGGGATTGAAGGTCGTACGGCCCGAGTACGCTAGAGCCGTGACGATTTCAGGTGAGGCCAGGAAGTTCATCGTGCGTCGGTTGCCATCGTTACGGCCGGGGAAATTGCGGTTGTACGAGGTAAAAATGGCGTTGTCCTCTCCCTTGGCTACGCCGTCGGTGCGCTTCCATTGCCCGATGCAGGGACCGCAGGCATTGGCGAGTACAGTGCCGCCGGCTGCGGAGAAGGTCGATAAGGTCTGGTCGCGGTCCAAGGTGGCGCGGATCTGCTCGCTGCCCGGTGTGATGAAGAAATCCGAGGCGGGCTTCAGACCGGCGGCGGAGGCCTGCTTGACTAGGTCCTCGGCACGGGTCATATCTTCGTAGGAGCTGTTGGTGCAGCTGCCGATGAGACCTGCACCAAAGGTCTGCGGCCACTCTTTCTCGCGCACGGTGCTGGCGAAGGCGGATAGTGGCACTGATAGGTCAGGGGTGAAGGGACCGTTGATGTGGGGCTCCAGGGTTGACAAGTTGATGGTGATAAGCTGGTCGTACTCCGCATCGCGATCCGCCCGGAGCAAATTCCGAGGGCCCGAGGCGGCGATGGCGGCGGCCGCCTCAGCGACATGTCCACGACCAGTGGCTTGGAGGTAGGGAATCATGCTGGGAGAGAAAGGGAAAACCGAGGTCGTGGCGCCAACTTCGGCACCCATATTGCAGATTGTGGCCATGCCTGTGCAGCTCAGCGTCTCAACACCGGGTCCGTGATACTCAATCACAAAGCCCGTGCCGCCGCGGACGGTCAGCTTCCCGGCCAGGTGCAGGATGATGTCCTTAGGTGCGGCCCAGCCGTTAAGTCGGCCTTCCAGCCGCACCCCCAACACGCGGGGAGCCTTCAACTCCCAAGGGGCGTCGACCAGTGCATCCACGGCATCAGCACCTCCTACTCCAATAGCGATGGCACCCAGACCACCGGCATTGGGAGTGTGACTGTCGGTCCCCAGCATCATCAGTCCAGGAGCAGAGTAATTCTCCAGCACACTCTGGTGGATGATTCCGGCCCCGGGAGGCCAGAATTCAATGCCATATCGTTTGGCGGCACTCTCCAAGAAATCAAACACCTCACGGTTGCCCTCGATCGACGCTGGAAGGTCCGTATCGGCTCCCCGTTCCCCAACGATCATGTGGTCACAGTGGATACTAGCGGGTACGGCGGTCGACGGCAACCCGCACGACATGAACTGCAACAGCGCCATCTGAGCCGACGCATCCTGCATGGCCACACGATCCGGCTTCAACTTCAGATTGGCCTTCCCACGAATGTCTCGTCCATTCTCCGTACCAGTCAACAGGGACTCCTCTGGGTTGGCCAGATGGGTGTAGAGGATCTTCTCGGCGAGGGTGAGCGAGCGCGCCGCACCCAGCACCCGTCGTACCTCCTCCAGATTTCGCACAATCTTGGGATATGGGGGCATGCGAGAATTCGCGGCGGAGGCCTCCGTGGCGAGACCACGGCGGTGGAATAAATGCTGTGGGGAAAGGCATTTCGGGGCCAGCTAACACAGTCAGCATCCATCCATTGGAGTCCGGGTAATTCACAAAAGGCTGACATACCCTTCGAGTGGCAGTTGCCCGCTGCCAGACAAGTTGTCTCACCATCATTCCTGTCGAGGGATGAGCAAGAGAGACAGAAAGCGACCGCTGGCGATGACTCTTAGGATGCTTCTTTTATCCCAGCGCTGATTGGCTGTGCTAATCGCCGATACCGGGCCGCTGGTGACCGTACCATACTGGGGTGAGGGCCATTGCCGCGGGGTAACCGCGGCTTCTCCGTATGCAGCGGTATCGGTACCGCCAAGGCGGCCTATGAATCGGAGTCAGGGAATGCCGGGGGAATATTACTCCGTACCTAGATCGCGTCCCGTAATATGACGCGATGCAGTAGTATACTTGCTTCGATAGATAATAGATTGCACTACGACTTAAAGTCCATGCCACAGGCCGAATGGCTTCGATACCCCTGGTGGAGGTTTTTGAAGCGCGTCCGATCGGCGATGGATTGAATTCTTTCGTGATCAGTTAATAGCGGCCTGTAAAACTTTGGATCCTTGTACTACTATGTCGGCCTTTTACCGACTTCCAATCGAAGGTATTTTATCTCTAGAGACGCAAGGGCCTCGCTAACCATGCATTAGGTCTCCGGCAACTGTGCCTTAATTCAGTACTGGCTCTACAAGCGTTTCCTGTATCGCTTGCTATGGCCACCGCACGACAGCAAAGACTTCTACGGTCACTTGTCGAGTTTGACTGCAAAAATCAAGTCAAGGGAGTTTCAACTGGAACGACTCATCCCTGTGTTTCGTGCTATTATCCTCCGCCAACCAGATGAAGGCATCCGGGCGAGGGTCTACATGATGTTCCTATAAAAACCTGTCTCGTGTCTGAACCGGATCAAGATGGCTGTTTGACCAGTAAGACCGGACAGAGACGGTTGTCCAACCAACTGGGGATCTCTCTGCCACCCACCAAAAGTAGCAGATCCAAATCTTCCACGGATGAAGAGGATGACTTGCAGGATGAAGTACTGATAAGCTTTACCATGAAGGACGATGAGGCTCCGATCACGCGAGGTACGTCGCGTTTTTCCATAGATTTAGGGCTTTATCAGGGTCTCCAGAGTGAGTGAGTAGCTCCTTGCTTTCTATTGGCTTTGTTACTTACCCAGCCATGTTATAAGTCAATGCACGCGGAAGGGCTTTTGTTACACGATGTCTCGACGCAGAACCGGATTGTACATGATGAAGAAGAGAGACTGCCGTGCCCTGCTTTCATCATTGAATTGAACATGGTTAGTCCGGAACATAAAGAGAGACCTTCCGGGGCAAGCAGCAAGTCCTGGAGGGGGGCATTTATGGCCATCGGATTGCTCTTGGGAGAGAAGCACTCTATGCGGCACGATTGGAGCTCTTCTTTTGGCTCCTGTTCTAGCACTGCAGCCACTACACTACGCTCGGACGGGTGTCGGACCCACAGAATTTGACTGTTGGAATTACGAAAACGAACGGAAGCTTACGCAATCAGGGCGTTGTCGCCGACGTGGCTGGTTTTCTGAAGACTGCCGAAGTCACATTTACGCCGTACTGTCAGCCCTTGATCCCTTATGTTAATCGGTTCTGATGACTCATGTTTCCAGAGGGACTGCGAAGAAAGGAGGAGGATAGTGGTCTCTATGACCAGATGCAAACTCTGTTGTGGAGCGCGATCGAGGCCCCGCGGCTGATGTACGCCGACAGATATTAAGGGATTTACGAGGGTTGTCTACGACCATCGCTCAAGGTTGTGAACTGGATATTTAGATTTAATATGGATAATGCCGTCAAGTTTGGCAACATATAATTTGATGCTAGATAACACTACTATGCACAAATTAGGTATTTCCACCTACAATCCCATATTGTTCCAGCCGCAATGGTCCCTGTCCTCTTATCTAGAGGATCTTGCTATGAAACAAGCGGACTACATGGCTTTGAACGCATCTGATCATTAATTAGAGCCGTTTATTGTACCATCTATTCTGCAGTTTTATAACCTTGTCACATACATATATATATATGATGAATCCTTTGTTATAATCGCAAACCGAACAGGTAATCCTCATTATACTCACCAGTATCTCCGTGAATATAATGACATCTTGAAGAAACATCATGGATAGTTCCATGCGATAATCGACCTTCTCCTATTCATCACAGTGGACCTACGACTATAAGTAGCCCTCGACCTTCAGCTCTAATACTCACCACATCACCCACCCAGGTCAAAAAGTCCTTACCTTGAATATTTTCAAGCACTTCTCGAACCACCAACTCTCACATCAATCATCCTATAAACCACCCTTTCCAAGAACTGTCTAACAAAACCATGACGGACAAGCCCAAATGGGCATCCAAAGCTGGACTAGTAGCATGCAGCGCCGTGTCGATCTCCAGCTGGAGGGCATCAAATTGGCATCTCTTACCTCCAATGACATGGTGTTCTTATTTGACGTAGAATACGCCATGGTATCTCAGGGACGTCTAAGATTCTCGCTCCAGCTTCAGATGTTCACTCGCAAGGAAACCCAGCTTTATCGGAACCCCTCTGGAGAACCAGCCAAAGATCATGTCCGTGTCAAGATTATCATGTCCCCCGAGAACGAAGAACTGCGCACTGCAGCTGATGTGTATTCTGAGATGCAACGTCTTATGTTTGTTGAAACTGAAGATGACGACATTGTTCTTCCGTTCAATGGCGCGGTGTTGAAGATTGACTATGCGTAAGATTGGAGGATTGCATCTTGCGCTGTTTCTTTTGGAGACTGTTTGTTGATCGTTCTCTTTTGGGTTGGATCACGATACGGTTGGATGAGATTCAGGGAGACTGACTATTTCTTATGTTCGATACAGGCTATATATTTTTTTTTAAGGCAGATTTCTTTTGTCGGGTACTCTAGAGATTCTGTATATGCACTGGGGATCGGTCGTCGTAGGCGATTTCAAACGACACGACCAACTCTGGGGCGTAGACCATGTCGCCAATTTCAACAGCGAGAAGCTGTTTCCACTTTATCAGTATTGCAGTCTTGTGCATTTGATTCCAGTTTATTTGGATCCCCCTCCCTTAGAAGTGTTTGTGTCAGTCAACATGTATCTAAATCGGAACTTAAAGATCCTCATCCTTCTTCTAGATGCCGCTTTGAATATCTGGTTCACATAAAGCCTTAAAACTTGAAAACCGATTGGTGCGAAACATTTGGTGAAAATACTGAAGGGCTGTGGTAAACGAAACAACAACCAAGCAACTGAATGCACAGTAAATGGTTCCTAATTTTACTGTACAAGACATAAAACAGCACACTCGCTCTCGAACAAGTATTACGGATAGTTCATCTTTACATTATGTACCCTTTTAGATTGGCCAAATTGTTCAGATCTCATACAATACGTGATATCGTTTGATTATGCACTTGGAGATATGTTTCATACCTCCTTGTTTGTAGTTTGCTTGCAGGCAGAGTTATACCCAACTACTAACGGTTCCCATTTGACTGTCCCATACTGATTACCACCTTCAGGGCATTACTCTTTGATGCCGCCTGGAACGTGGTGTATGCCTCGTTGATATCCGTGAACGAGAAATCTATCCACATTAGCAAATCCACAGCGTCAGGGATCATCAGGGCGTACGATGCGAAATCAGCGTCTTCGGGCTGATCATGTCCGATTCCACCATTTTCAACAGATCCGGCGTCGTCACGGTATCCACCAGTCGTGTTCGCAGACCTACATCCATTAGCCTGACGCCTCCCATATTAGGAGCAGCACCTACAGATATTCCGATTCCACAAACTCTCCAGATGAAAGTCACATTTACTCCCAAACACTCCCAAACTAGCAATCGTCCCACCCGGTCCCACCAGCATCTGCGCCAGTTCGAAGCTCTCCGGCGACCCGACAGCCTCAATTACCGCATCGTAGCCCACCCCAGCGTTGACCTTCACAGCGGCTTTAACAGCCTCTTCCATCCCATCTCGCGAGCTCACCGTATGAGTAGCACCTAGTTCCCTCGCAACCTGCAATCGCGACTCCCCCCGTCCGAGGACCACCACCCTCGACGGCCCAAATAGACGTTGCGCCAGCATCAGTGCAGCCAGTCCAATCGGTCCGGGACCGACAATAGCCAATGATGCCCCGGGCTTGATATCCGCATTCAACACACCACACTCATACGCCGTGGGGAGAATATCCGAGAAAGCCACAGCCAGATCGGTAGGTATCTTTTCCGACAACACATGAAGAGAGAAACTCGCATGCGGAATCCGGACATACTCCGCTTGTGTCCCGTCAATCTCATTACCGAGGACCCACCCCCCGGTTGAACAATGCGATCCCATCCCCTTTCGACAGGATGTGCATCGTCCGCAGGACGAAATACAAGAGATCAGCACTCGATCACCAATACGGGGCGATAGAACCCCGGGTCCGACGCTATCGACGATGCCCACGCCCTCGTGGCCTAGAATCCGCCCGGGAGTGCACGATGGTACATGGCCCTGCAGGATGTGGAGATCCGTGCCGCAGATCGTTGTGCTCAGGAGTTTGACGATGGCGTCGCTGGGTTCCTGGAGGGTGGGGATAGGTCGGTCCTCGACTGCAAAGGATTCGGGACCTTGGTAGATGACAGCTTTCATGGTCTTGGTCATGGCGTAGGAGTAGCGAGTTAGTGAGTACGAAGTACTAAAGAAAAAAAAAAGTGTCTTTATGAATACCCCATCAAAGGGGTTTGCTCGTCTTAAGATCGTCAACGAGGCGTCGGCTAGACTTACCATGGCCAGCCCCGATGCAACACAAACATCCTCCGTGCTGCAACAAAACTTACGATAGATAAGCCCAGCCAATAGATACCGACTGGGATATTATTGTCTGATGTGCAGGAGGCAATGCAGGATGAAACAATGGGGTTGGTGGGGGGTGTTGACCAAGCCGTGGTCTAGACAACACGCGGATAGTGGATATCGGGATCTGGAACGCAATTTTACGGAGTATGCATATCATAGCCTATGCCACTAGCACTTATCGACCATTATTCTTTTGTAATAAAAATTAATTACAGTTTTCCTCAGATGCCTCGGAGGATCAATTGGGCAGGTATGGAGGTGGGCAGATTAATCATATTGCACTCATGTTTAGTAGTAAGTTTCTCGTAGAAGAAGCACTCCAAGTCTATTTAGTTCATACGCACTTTATCGAAAATAAACCGCGTGGTTCAGGCGTCAACTTCTATTTAATTTACCCCTCCATGTCAAATACGCTAATTGGCATCTTCCGGGTCCAAATAAGACTGTATGGAATAGAACCAGGATGGCAGTGGCCGTTGGTAAAGCGCTTGAAATGATATTTCTAATTATATATCCTCCTTTCTATTTAATTATAGTGTGTTTGATCCCCAAACGATCCTAATCGGTTCCGAAATAGGTGTCCTTCCTAAACGGGAGAGGTGTCCTAAGGTTCCGGCGAATCGGGCTTCATTTATCAAGCAAAAAAAAAAAAAAAAAAAAAAAAAAAAAAAAGAATATGGATAGTATGCTCCGTACAGGTGGCTGTATCAATAATAGTGAAGTCAATATAAGATAGATAGATTCTTTAATACTGGCTGAAAGTCTTCAGTTCACCCTAGAGTTGAACTGTATGAGACAAATGCAAACAGTTGGTTAATATTATCCAAACAATTCCTTGACTTTATATAATTCTCGGATTACACAAGCAACATTAAAAAGAACAAAAATCAGATCACAAGGCACTAATGGAGATTCGCTTCGCTCCCGCATTACCATTCAGCAACGCTGACCCACTGGACTGACGGAGATGATTATGGTGCATTGTCGGATCCTCCACATCCAGACTGAACCGTCGAGGTCGCTGCCACATGCCATGGGACTCGTCTGTCTCCGTCGCCTCCAACTCCGATGTCGACAGACCAAACTTGGTCGCGATCTGCTGCACGCGCTCCTGCGCCGCTGCCGCATCCACCGTGCCGCTCTGGCCTTCCTTGGCCAGTCGGGCCTGCGCATGTTGCAGTAGCTCCAGGTGCTGTGTTACCGCCTCTACGGCTTGCGGCTGGTTCTCATCGCTGTTGAGCAGCTCCGCCAGTGCCGTCTCGTGTAGGGCCGCCGCCGCTAGGTGGTTGCCCGAGGCTGTGTACAGACCTGATAGCAGTTTGGTCATATCCAGCGTGACTGGGTCGCAGTTACCCCAGACTTGTCGCAGATTGTAGCAGATGTCCTTGCCCAGCTGCGTCGCCAGCGCCGCTTGACCCCGGCAGAACCGGGTTTCGACCAGTCGCCGGCCAATCCAGACAACTGCCGGCAATGACCAGGTCTTTTGCACAATGCGGGAGGTCCAGAGGTCGGTGAGAATGACCTAAACAGAATGAGCATGCATTGGTAGGAAATAAAAAAAAAAGAGAAAGATACCTCGAGATCTTCGAACATTTCGTGCTCGCCGAGAACCGTGACCAGATCGTTCAGCTCCTCAAACGGTAACTCCGAGAACTCCAGAGGGAGCTCTTTGGCGTTTGCCATGATCTCCTGCAAGAGCATCTGCGACTCCAGCGCCATGTTGGTCGAGGTGGCCTCGTCGGTACACCGTTTGGTCTGGTGGCCGCTCAGATACAGGCAGAGTTTGATGGCTGTGAAGATACTTTCCGGCGTGCGCAGCCCTTCGGTCAAGTGGACAAAGGAATGAAAGACGCTGGTCACGTCGGCTGCATCTTGGAACCGCGAACGATTACAGAGGTCCCGGACCATGCCCGCGGTAGAAGTCACAATGTTGATGTTGTAATCATCATGCAACGACTCTCGCCGGCAGAAGCCGTAGAACTGATGTACCGATTCCTTCTTCCGCAAGAGTTGAGCTACCGATAGACTATTGCAGAAGTACTCATACAGCATATCGTGGGTATTTTGAGCCGCTATGCTGCGCTTCTGGTCGACCTGCAGACGATGCAGCTTCTCACCAGCCGCCAACGTGGGCACGAGATCGTGGCCAGCCAAATTCTCCTGGAAGGTATTGTACACCTGGCCTTCGCGGGACAATGCGCTCAGGATCTCGTGCGACGTCTGGCGTTTGCCGAACATCTCTTCAAAGGCAGCCACAAAGACCGCAGGACGATATTCGTTAAGCGATTGCCGCTGCACCACGGGAGTGTCATGGACCACCTGCTGATGCAGCTCATTGATTAGCTGGGTGCCCTCGTCGATATAGCCGCACTCTAGATAGATCTCAGCCAGGCGGTGCCCGCGGTCGACCAGAGTGTCGTGGTTGGCAGTGACATGTACCACCTCGTTCACATGGTCCTGGAGCAGAGCAGCACCTTGCTGCCGCGATTCGGTGGTACCCTGCTTGAAATGCATGTCGGCGATCGCATGCAGCCACAGAAGCGTATTGGGAGCCGACAATCCCTGCTGCTGTTTGGCCAAGGTCAGTTCCTCATTGTATAAGGAATACGCATCCGCTGAGGTGTCATTCTTCCGGATGTACAGCTGCGCCATTTGGTGCTTGATGGTGATTGGTAAAGGCTCCGACATATCCGGTAACTCCCGCGAGGCCTCGGATGAAGATACCCAGTCGTTGGTGTTCAGCACCTGTTGGTAGAGGGTAAGGGCTTCCGTATGGCGGCTGTCATCGGCACAGATGCCAGCTAAGGTCAGGGTGGCATCGCGAGTGCGTGTGTTTGTTGCGCCATAGAGCTTGCGACAGAGTTGGTGATGCTGCGACGCGACCTGGTAGCGTTCCGTACCTGTGCCTTGGACCGCCGAGTTCTCTAGGAGCGCCATGTAACCCCTGTAAGTCTTGGGTAGCAGGCCCTCCAGCAGGGCGCGGTCATAACCATCTCTCTCGTCGAACCGCACCAGTGTCGGCCACATATGGCGGTAAACTTCGAGCGCCGCATCCCACCTCTTCTGTTCCTCATACAACGTGATGAGTGCAATGGAGGCGCGCACTCCGGAAGCAGAAACTTTGTCATCGCGAATACAGGCTTTATAAATATGACGATAACTGTCTTCGGCGTCATTGCGACGGTCTAGGCGCAAAGCCAGATCTCCCTCGTAGTAGCGGGTGTCGATGGTGTGTTTGTCGTGCTCGCCAAGTCGTGATGCAAAGAAGTCGCTGACCTGGTGCAGCAGGATAAGCGCTTTCTCGAACTGGAACGTCGTCTCATAGAATTCTACCACCGTCTTTACAACAGTGCTCACAGATGGAACTGCAACCTGGTCTGCCGTTATGGACGCCTTGAAGGCGTTGCCATACACCACGCTCGCGGTTTGCACATCCAGCCGCCGGAACAGACAGTACCCATGGTCCAGTGCAAGACTGGCCATGATAGGGGCCTCATTAGACTGGAATTTCGACTTCGACTGGGGATCCTCGACTGTCGGCCATGCATGCTTTAATACCGCCCACGCGGTCTCACTGCCCTCGCGCCATTCTTCTGCACGGATGTGCTGCTTCACCAGATGGTGGCACAATCCGAGAAGTGGCAGCGTTCGTTGGGCCCTTCCGGCCGAGGAAATTGAATCAATCAAGCCTGGAAGCAGGACACTCTCCTCTGGGGAAAGAATACCGATGTTCTCGGCTGTGCCTCTGGCGGGAATGAGCCCGTTGGCGAGGCTCTCAGCGAGAGTGACCGCTTTTGGCGAGTACTGTTGCCCTGTGGCATAGTAATATTTCCAAATCTGAAGCGCCAAGGCGCGATCCATATCCTGTAGACCCATATCGCGAGCTTCCACGCGGAGCTCCTCCGCACGTTGGACCATCTGGGGTGACTTTACACCGCCATGGGCGTCCAAACCGCTTGACAGCTCGCGGAGGATCGCATTGGCCTCATCAGGACGGCCTTGACGACGCAAGAAGTGGGAATAGTAAAAGGCGACCTTTGTCCTCTGGTCCCACGCGTTGCTGCTGTCGGGAGTACGCGAGGATAGCCCGGTCCACATTTGAGACAGAACGCCTTCAGCCTTGATGGACTGCTTGTTTTCTTCATACATCTGGGCCAGGTGGTGGCCATACGAGACCCGGCGAGGATCCGTGGCGTCCATCGAGCGCAACATGGTCTCATACTTGGTTCGGGCCAGCTCCAGAGCCAACTCGTCGGGTGGGGCGATAGTGAAATGCTGCGTGAGGAACTCGCTCGCCTGCATAGCTTCAGGGGAATGGGCTCCATATGTCTTGACAGTTTGATGGTAGAACTTTTTTGAGATACCATAGGCGATGTCTCGCTGGTTGTTGTCTCGGTAAGACTTCACCAAACGCTCAAGGTAATGCAGGCGTTGCGCGAAAGTGATGTCGGATGATCCCCAGTTCGCCAGGGTCATGTCCCGCAGAGCGTCTGTTTTCAGGCCTGCCGACTTGTCTGCCTTACCTCGTCCCTCTGGAGTGGCGACGAGCAGCTGTTCCAGGCGGCGACTGATCGTCTCCGTTGGGCCGAGCCGGACCCGACTGCGCGTCCACGCCTCATATAGATGGTCGTTCGCCCAAGGAGCTTTTGCTTGGTCTGCTGCGCGAGCACTGAGGATCAGACTTTGAAGCAGGGCGTGCGAGTCATTGCCTAGGACCGCCCGGCGGACCACAACCGACAGCCGATACAGCTCAAGGATGCAGGAACGGCTGAACTGCGATTCCCTGTTGGTCAGCTCCAGCTGCGCAAAAAGTACTGACGAAGGCATGGCCCGCCGGAAGGGACCGGTGAAAGAGAGCTCGCGGTTGGTCGTGGCAATGGGAGAGGAGAGCATGTGAGACAGCCAGTACCGCGAGGTGTATTCCAACAGCACGTAGGCGTCCATGTAACCGTCGCGCGCACTGACACCCAATTTATCCCAAGAGATGGGGACTTCCTCGGAGACCGACTGCCGGACCCATGCCAGAGAACGAACCAATAAGTCATAGTGAGCCTCGGCCAGAGTATACGGAACCTCTTGGCCCATCATTGCACGCGCTTGAATGTGCTCCCGGATCATAGGGTGACGGAAAGAGACAAATCCATCTCGTACTGAGGTAAGGCGGCTCAGTGGCTGCAGGATATCCCGCTCTATGTTCGGTGCGCGAGCGGCGACCTTGAGGGACTTTACGTCGACCGCCATCAGCTGCTCAATTTCTTGAACTCGGAAGGGCCGTTCGGAGGCTGTCAACCAGGCCAGGACGCTTTGTGTGCCTATCCGGTGGAGGTTAATGTTGCGCAGATGTTGGTCGATCAGGTCACCCAGCGTCTTGGGGGCCGCCTTGATGACTGACACCATCTCTTGGAAGGAGGATTGGTGCCGTGCAAGTTCAACGGCAAGCTGGGCCCAGACGAAACACCCTTGAGACCGTGGAGTGATGGACGTGGACAGGGCCTTCATTTGAAGGCCATCCAGACCGGAGAACGCGGTATCAGACGCCAACATGTCATCCACCGCGCCTTGGAGGTCATCTTGCGTCAATGAAGGATTCATGGTGAGCTGTTGGGTAGTCGTCGTGTCGCGCATTGGGATCTGCGAACTGCTCAAAGGTCGGCTAAATACAATCAGCTTCGATGGCGTATTACGCTCCGAGACCGCATCCTGCAGGCGTTGGAGGAAAGACCCCACTGTGGTATTGGAATGCTTGATCTGATCGATTCCGTCCACCACTATCAAGAAGTGGAGGTTTGATTGTAGTGCTACTCGCATTGCGATCCACAGCTGGTCCTCGACTCGGGGATCTGATGTGCCGGTCATAGCTAGATGTAGCGCCTTGTTAACCGCCAAAAGGATCGCATCCTGAGTCTTGCGACTATTGACGCAGTGGTCGAGCATCTGGATCAGGATGCCTTTGAGTATGCTCAAATTCAGTGTAGTGAGCGGCACGTCGGAGCGGATCGACACGGGAATGACGCTCCAGATGTCAAATTCAGGCGAGACCTGTAGCTTTTCCACCGTCCACTGTGCCAGTGCGCTCTTTCCAGAACCCGGGTGGCCAGTGATCAGCATCAGGTTCCGGCGGCCGACTGTGAACGTAGTCAGATGGGGGTCGAACCATGCAAATGATCCGTCCGTCAGAGAATGGTTATGGCTGTCCAATAGCATTTGCAGGGGACGATCCTGCAGCTCGAGGAATTGATAGATGGCCCCGAAGTCGATACTAGGCTGTTGGGCGCCGACCCCCGTGGCTTGAGCGGCTTCTGACAGCCGCCGCCAATGAGCCGTAAACCGATTGAAATAGCAGAAAAGTGAGGCGTTGATGGCCTCCCCCATAACCTGCCAGTTCTGACTTCTCACTGCTTGCCGGTAGTCCATTGTGATATGCATGATTAATTGAAGCAGATGGGCATAAATCTCGGTCACCTCCTCCTGGAGCTGCCGGGAAAGTTGGAAATGATTCTCCTGTTGGAGGAGTAGAGAAATACCCAAGGTGACCCGGCCATATTGTCCGAAAATAGTATCCAGCGCTTCGATGTGATCCATACCCATCTACAACTCGGTAAGTTTGGGGTGGATGAAACCATCAGAACCGAAACTCACCTCGAGAAGCAGCAGAGTCGACCCCCAGATCATTGTGGCCGCCTCGTCTGCTCCATCCATAAACCCATTGACTGAATCTCGTAATGAAGCGACAGCAAAAGCTAAACGAGAGGCACGGCGGAGGGCGCCGTCTAAACGGCTACCATCTGGAGGCATACGCCGGAGCCTTTCCGCCGCAATCGCATCAAAAAATACATCCACCGTCGGTGATTTGGCGCGAACCTCCTTATCAGACATGGAGAGGCGTGAGGGGCACTCCTGGGAAACTAGTTGTAGCGTTTCCCGGAGCACGGGGGGCGGGCTGGTGCCCCCATTCACAGCAGGGCTCTCCTTCTCTAACGAGGAAGACATGCTGTGTGGGTTTTTTTTGTCAAAGATCGATAGTGTGCATACAGGAACGATCACTTAATTCCGGATGTAGTGCAGAGTAGCTAAATGAGATTTCGACATGGTCCGCGACGATTCAATGGCATTATGACGGACAGAGCAACTTAATTCCGGCGTGCCATGCAATTCTGACATCATGAGTCGTTGCTACTTATGGCTGGCTCGTCATTGAAGCTCAAACGGGACATGAACCGTGGATCGTCGGAGCTTATATGGCTTCAGTGATGAGAGCTTCACACGCTGTTGACTGACTCCCTTCGTGTTTAGGCAGTCATGGTGTCATTGGGAATCATGGTAACTCGTTGGGGCCGTTTAGATTTCGTTCAGCGTCATGGGCCATGGGTCCAGTGGCCATCGAGATCGATGACATCACAGGTTACTGACATTTCTTTGCGGATACTTGAAAGCCTGGCTTGGGCATTATAGCAACACCGTACAGTTAGATGCATGAAAAGGATGGTGTTGATAAAGAGGATGAAGATGTAGTGGAAGCTTGCTGGGTTATTTTGTTTGCCGATGAAATTCAACGCCGATAGCCAACAGCCGTAGAGGGCGCGGATGATTCAGCATTGCATATGCTTGGCACAATGTGTACAAATGTCATTACGTAAGAATGCATAAAGTAGTTAACTTTTAGTTAACTTTTAGATAACTACGTAGTTAACTGACTACTGTAATTAACTACTATGCACAGAGCTGCCTATTGAAAGTTATGCCTTGTAAGCAGCACAGATTCTTAAAGATTAGGTATTGTTAATGCTTAGACATGCTTGTATGCTAATAAAATAGTTCATGATCCATAGTTCTAGTGCATTGGAATGGCTTAGCATTTGCTTCTGATGTAAACTTAGGTTACTTGTTACTAAGGTATTATTAGAAATCAAAACTCGCAGCAAGCCATCTTAGGAAGTCAATCCTCCAATGGCATGTAATGGACAAATATAAATCTCATCCTAGGGACCCTTACAAGATACAATATGGCAGTACGTGGATTTATCAAACCCTGGGCAAATTAGCATATAGCAGCCATATACCTATTTCTTCTATAGTGACCTACTACAATGCTATTGTAGTCTCCCAGCATCCATTGCAGCGACAATACTCTCCGAATAATTTCATTCGATTACGGGGTTATACCTACTTTGGCAGTACATGTCCACGTGATTCTATTGGTGGGAAGCGGGACCCGCAACCACTATTTCTGACGTTCTATGGTTGATTCCCCCCAACTTCTTCGCTCTCCCTTTTCCATTCTCCATGGTTGTCTTCGCCAAGACCGTCGGTATCCCACCGCTATCCTATCAGCATCCTATCGAACCTCCGCACCAGCCTGAGTGGTTATACTTCGCTGGTATCCTATCCATTCCAGATTTCGCCATATGACGCTCGCATCGCCAGTGCTCAGCTATTAATAGCGAGGACTATATTGCACTTCGCGCGATGAGCACATGGGAACCCTTGTTTCAATGTGACTATCTTGGGTGTGGCTTAAGCTATCGACGCAAAAAACATCTCACCCGACATGCAAGGCGTCATTTCCAGAGGTTATCCCTTGGATCTCCAGTCTGTGGCAGATCCTTTGCCCCGAAAGTAAGTACAAAAACGCAACCAAGGAGAATGGAGATGGACACTAACGAAGCTACAGGCCGTACGATACGGGCTTGCAATTACTATCGCTCGCGACGGTCGAAATTCGATAGATAGGCTCCCTGTGAGGCATGTCAACAGCGAGGAATTCAGTGCTCTTTGGTACGAATTTCTCCTCCCTGCGAAATAGCACATCGACGTCCCACCGATACAAAGCCTTTCGAGTGCATTCGGGATATACCGCATATTCTCACACGGCAAATCAGATCCTATTAAGAACCTGAACTAGATTGAGAAAAGCGCAGTTAGAATATCACCCTACGCCTATTTCGACAGGTTTATACGAACTGGCCATTTCTCGACCGGGCAACATTCAACCCTGACCAAGAACCTGCTTTCCTGGTACAGTCCGTCTTGATGATAGGCTTGTGGGTGACTGAGGAAGACAATGCCCAGCGTGCAGCCATGGATCTACATGCCAAACTCACCTCATCTATCTTCAAACAAAGGGTTTGTCGTCCATCTCCACCCTGCCCGATTCTCCCTCTTAACTTATAATCCTGTAGGATAAGTGGGATCTTTCGAACCAGAATTGCAATCCTCAACTGCAGCATTGTAATTCAATTTCGTCCCATGCCCTGCTCTGGCCAATGGAAACATACCCGGGGAATCCTCCTGCATCTCATCTTCGCTCTTATAAAACATACTCGAGACTAACTTGTCCACTTACGTCCAGAAGTCCCCCCTCAGCTTCTAATCACCTCCGTTCATAGCTGTCTCAAGCAAAACATGTTCTTCTACCCCTCAATGTTGGCCCAGTTCAGCCCCGACTCTGTTCCAGATGCCTTCATCTGGGTTGGTATCGAGGAATAAAGCGCTTCGGGTGTTAGAGCGCGATGCTCCCTTAACCCAGGCCTGTATCTGTCTTTAGGATACCGGCTTAGGCTCATCTGTCAAGACCAGGTTGTTGGTTTTTAGGTGCTAATAAATATTTCCGTTTAAGTTATGCCGGTTACTATCTGCTATTTTAAAGCTACAGTGTCGACATCGAATCGGGTCGTTTTAACTCTTTTATGCTTTTCTCTATATAGGTTTTATCAAGAATCATCACAAAGAAATAAGCCCAAATACAGGTATTACCGCCTGGAGGATTTTCCAGCAACTGTATTAGACCTATACCTTTCGTCTCAGTATAATGTTGCGAAACTAAGTTTAAAAGAGATTAATAAGAAGTAAACGGCATTAAATCAAAACTGAAGTTATATACGGGGAGCAAGTATGGCAGTATTCAGCAGAAATGAAGACAAGTGCAAGACAGGCCCGAAAATGAAGATTTTCGCGAAACATACGACAAACGGCTGCGTAGGGACAGGCAGCTCGCGTTTCGGGGAATAGCGTGACAGGCTTTTAAGTAACAAGAGCTGTCTCGTTTTTGGGACAAATTTAGCCTTATTACTGATCCATTATGATTATTCACTTGAATGAATGCGACCTCTGCTACAAAGATATATGATAACAGTGATCAACGGTTCGAAGGAACTCGTATTTGGCCTGGACAAGAGTACCGGACTCATCTTACGGAAGACGCAAATACTAAATTTTGGGCGAAGTGGGTATCCAATGATCTTACAGACATGACTTTCCAGCCTAGCTCTCCACTATGCTGGAGACGCCGGGTATGTATGTACATGATATCTTTTTTTCCAGTATGAGGAAAAGAGGAAAGCCTCGGAACATCACTTCTCCATATTCAATACTGACACTATGTATATAATGCCAGAACCGACCCAGCAGACCAAGTCGGTCAAGTAAGACGTGGCATTTCTTGTCGTTGCAACACTTAGGATTGACCCCATCGACGCCGACAGTTCAAGTCGTACGACCCCTGACGCAGATGGGCTGGGCGGAGATCTTGGCACGCTCATGATTCGACGGCGAACAGCTTGGCACTACGTTACAGCACAGCCCAGAGCGTCGCGGCCCCTATTGGCTGGCCAAGCCCGCCCCTAAAGTTGGCACCACATTTGGGTCGAGAGACGAATATAAACCAAGGACTGAAATCAGGGGCAATGGATCCGCAGTGACTGAGCCAAGCCCTATAGCGAAGAGCTGGCGGAGAAAGAAGAAATAGGAAAAATCTGCGGCGGCGAAGCCCCCAGCTCTTGCGTGTATCATGTCTCACGCTCAACGTCTGCTGTCTCCTGATCGTCGGGAGATTGGCGTGGGCATTTTCCCTGCGTGCTGGATTCTTGCTGGCGCTTCTCTTCGCACAATTTATTTAATGCTCTCCAGTCCGATTGGCCCTCCATTCCGACCATTGTAAGGTTGATCGGAAGTTCGCAACGGAACGGTTGACAACGATGCCGACGCTCGACGTGAGCCAGTTGAATGTGGTAGTTGCGGTCTTGGGTAGGTAGTTGGCCCCGCCCCAGCATTGCAACCCTAACCATCTCAGGGGCGTTCATCTTGCTGTATGGCGTTATCTCAGTTAAGATTAAGAATGTCTGGTATCTGGGCGAGGCTTGTACGTATCCATAGTCGAATGAGGTTTCCATTCTAACCACAATCAGTGCCGGCGGTGCTGGTGGGCATCATTATGGGCCCAACCGCCGCCAAATTCCTGGACGCCACGGAATGGGGATCAGCCGTGAAGGACCAGCAGGAAGCGATCACTTTGGTGTGTGGATAGTATAACCAGGGCACGCTGTGGAACGCTTTTTAATGTGTCTAGGGTCTCTGCCGTGTCGCTATCGGTATCCAGCTGGTCATGGCCGGGTATCAGCTCCCAGCACAATACCAGCGCACCCACTGGAAGGAGATGTTCATCTGCTTGATTCCCAACATGACGTTGATGTGGCTTCTGACATCGGGTTGCGTCATGGCCACCATTCCAAACATTCCTTTTGTACGTCCTAGCCTACAGTCAATTTCCGATCCCTAACTAAACCTCTTATAGATCCCGGCCCTGGTAATCGGCTCTTGTGTCACCTGTACCGACCCAATCCTCTCGCAGGCCGTGGCCAAAGGCCCGTTCGCGGACAAGTACGTAGCGCGCGAGCTACGTGAAATCATCTCTTCGGAGGCGGGTTTTAATGACGGTTTTGGGTTTCCATTCCTGATGCTAGCGACGTATATCATGAGGCACGCCCAAGGGTCGGGGGTTGAGTCCCATGGAACCCAAGCGGCCACCTTAATGGCACGATCCGGGGACATTGGGCGCCAGGGAGGAGGTGTCGGAACAGCAATAAGCAACTGGGTGGTCGAGACCTGGCTTTACTACGTGGTGCTGGGTGTGGTGTACGGGGCTGTACTGGGATACGCAACGATGCATGCCCTGCGATTCAGCCTTCGACGGTCAGCCACGGAATGCTGCTTCTCCGCTGGACCAGTGCTGATGGAGCCAACAGGAAGTGGATTGATAGTGAAAGCTATCTGCTTTGCCCGACAGCACTTGGGGTCAGTGCCCATGAGACTTTTTAGACTAAACTGACCGCGAGATAGCTGTTTATCCTAGGCACCTGTGGCTGCATCGGCACCAATGATCTAATCGCCTGCTTCGCCGCTGGCAACACGCTCAACTGGGACGGAGGTTTCCTCGCGGAGACAGAGACGCGACACGACGAAGTTAATGCCTCTATCGACGTTCTACTGAATTTCGGGGGATTCATGTACATCGGGTCGATCTTCCCCTGGGACCAGTTCAGCCAGCCGGACCTCACTGGCATCACATACCCTCGACTGGTCCTACTGGGGTTCCTGGTTATCCTGCTGCGGCGTATTCCAAGTGTCATGCTGTTGTACAAATGCATGCCGCGGGTGTGTAAGAACTGGAAGGAGGCTCTGTTTATGGGGTATTTTGGTCCGATTGGTGCGTTGGTATAAGGTCGGAATGAATGATCCTGGTATTGACCTATCCTCATCTAGGTATTGGAGCTGTTTTCTATGTCGAGCACGCGCGCCATCTCTTCCCGAAGCCCGGCGAGGGAGACGAGGTGGAAGCGCAGCTGATCCGTGCCATTGGACCTAGTGAGTTATACTCCCCCTTTCTCGGCGCAGTCCCGAAACTAACATGTCACAGCAGTATATTGGCTCGTGTTCTTCTCCATTATTGTCCATGGTCTCTCAATTCCCGCATTGAATCTTATCTACAAGCTGGCCGGCGTGCCACCGGTGATTGACCCCTCGGGGCCGGCGGAAATCCGGCCCTTGTCGAGAAACGAGGTGTTGCCGAAGAACAGCTATGTGAACGTTACCCGTCGGTCTGTGATGCTGTTCAATCGCTTCTCGCGCTCAAACTATCCAAGCAATATAGGTTGGGAGCTACCACACGTGAAAGATAATTGTGACCGGGCGCCGGATCCGCCAACTTTTCAGTTACAAAACATGCAACGTCAAATCGAGAGGCATACATAGACATCTGTATAGATAAAGGGATAGGTATGGGCGTTCTGGCTTCATGATATGTTTGGGGTTATTAGAATAGATTGAAAATAGTATCTGGTATTAGATAATGCTATATCATCACAGATACAAGAGATACTAATTTAGATCTGACTGCGGGCACAGCCAACCAGCAAGCTAGATTTCGGAGATCCTGCATCCACCCTGTTAGTGTCCCTGCCCAAAAGCTATATCAAAGATTCGTGATCCATATGACTAGTTGTTGCACCTATGTCGAAAGAACCCAGTCGCTAGCAACGGACGACACATACCAATGCTGGATGACTTCTGGCTCTGCCCATAAGCTTCCCAAACAAGACTCTATTTTCGGGTAACTGTATACAACCAGCCTATTCTACAGGTGATACTCCTTGGTGTTGGTGATATTCACGCCAAGTCGCTGCCAGAATGCCTCCACATTCATATCTTCCTGTCCACTACAGATAATTAGCCTGGCTCTGCCTCACCCTCCGGAGGATAGACATACTTATCTTGTTTAAGAACCGACGGCCCAGTCTGTCCTTCGTCCACGTTGGGGTTTCTAAAAATCACATTATATTTCTAACAATTAGCATAATAGGCCGCTTTCTCAGCATGCGTAGTAGTATCATACCATGCCCAACGTAAGATGAATAGCGGCTGGCATACGAGGAAACACCTCGTGAGGACTCCGTCCTTCAATCATCGCCTGGATATTCTGCGCCACGACAGCTGCCTGTGCAGCACCCGGTCGAGCAGCTTTCCTCAACCCGGTATCTGCGATATCCCCGACCGCAAAGAGATGCGAATACTGGGGATCCAGGAATTGCATCGTCGGTTTAATTCGAATGTACCCGTTATCAGGGTTGATCACGGACTCAGAGGTAGATGTGGAAGGCAGATCGCGCAGCAGTGTGTTATTGGGGATTTGACCGGTTGCGAGGATCACAAAATCGGTAGTCAACTGCGTGCCGTTTGTAAGGGAGACTTTGAATGATTGTCCGTTCGTGGGGAATCCAGTCTCGGGTATGACGACGCGAGCGCCGGTGATGAATCTATTTAATCAGCACTCGACCTAGAGGGTACTATCAAGACACATACTTAATTCCCAACTCGTCGAATCGATCCTTCACCAACCGGTGGAGTTCCTCATGGAACCCTGGCATCAGCTGTGCGCGCGACTGCGCCACTGTGATTTCCTTATCAGGATACCGTTCCTTCAGATCCGTGGCCATTTGCACACCTACGGCGCCTCCGCCTGCAATTAGGATAGACCGGGAACGCCGCACATATGCCTGGTGTTTCTGTAGATAGTCCACGGAGGAGAGCTTATCATCACGTGTCATCCCACCAGGCGGTATAAGCCTTGTCCCCGTGGCTACTACAAGGTAGTCGAAGGGAAGGTTTTTCGATCCCTGCCATTCGCGATCTAGATGGACTTGGTGAGATTGTACGGAGAGAGCGCGGGCCTGTACAACGGCGTGGTGGAGACCGGTATTGGCGAAAATGCCAGTGTAGGGGATGAAGGCTTTATGTTCGTGACCAGGGATCACAGCGAATCGAGGCTGAGTTATCAGTATTGGATTATCTAACCGGACTGGGGACAAACAAATGTGAAGAGATGGTGAAAATGGCTATGAGGTTCGACCAGGAGAACCTAGACAGTATCAGTAAAGTGGTAATCAATCCATATGACATAATCTAGAAACATACACGATGCGTATCTGGCATCCGACGAGCCAGTTCCTGCGCGGCGGTTTTTCCCACGTAGGAGCCACCGACGACGACTATGTTTCGGAGTGGAGTAGCCATGTTGTTTAATATTAATATTTTTCCGTTCTTAGGTTCTAACAATTTGAAGGGGCGATCTGACGGAGAAATGCTGTTTAAGTATCCATCTGATAAGCGGCAGAGGATTTACCCCCTAGATTCTGATTGGTCCCCGGATTCGGCATTGGTATCTTATCTGATCCGATCGGACTCGGTCTTGCCTTGTTGGGTGATCTCCGAGCCGGGGATTCGGCGTGATTACAGATTTTGGCAATATATTAAATATGGGCTATCTTTCTTGCGGCCTTGCTTCTGCCTAGTGGGGATTGCGTAGTTCAGTTCTGACTTCCTATCGATTCCAGCAATGAGCGATGAACACAAATTTTCTCAGGTGCACGCCATTCAATCTCATTGGAAAGGGCGCACCTATCAGCTGAAAATTGTCACAGCAAGTGGTTAGATGAATAATTCGATTGCATTTTGACAAAGACATCGCTTAAAGAAAGAGAAAACAAAGAAACACGAGGGTCATGTCTACATTAACTATCTACATGCGGCTAGGGTAGAAAGCCGTCGCGTGACTGCTCCGAATCCGAATCCTTGAGAGATTTAACTCTGTAACGTGGTAAATGTTGGAACCAGAGTTATAAAGAACAATTGGAAAATACCTACAGGAAGTCTCGTGAGCTAGAACTAAGGGAATTAGCAAAATCTAGGAGACTCGGCTGCCCACATGAGTTGAATGAAGTGCTGGATGCGGTTCTATAATATAGACTAGATTTGCAATTCATGGAGTGAACGTGTCGTTTTACTCCGTGGACATGGCCAAGGTTTCAAGAAGCAAAACCCAAGTATTTGGAAGGTTACTCTCGGCCAAGTTCCACCTTCTTCATATTGTCGTATTGAACCCTCTCCCAAAGATTACAACTTTCGATGTCGGCCAAGCATGTTCCTCGTTTCAAACAACCCAAATGGGTAAGAAGCCCACAAAGGTTATATTCTGTGCGAACCAGGCTTAGCCGAATCAAGATATAGTATACTCCTTGCGAAGCTGAAGTAAGCTACGAAAAGAATCATTAAGTTGTGTCGAAACCTGCAGCCGATGTTCAGTTTCGTGATGATACCTCTTATGTGATAGCCAGAGGACTTGGTGGTTATGGATGGCGGGATTGAAGGCCAAAACCATCATAGTCATGTTACAATCTCCGCTCGAAGACTCTGAGCTCGAATCGTGGGCATTGTCAGCTAAGAGAATGGGAGTTATCCTGGCAGAGTATATCTGCGATATTACCATTCATGCTGACCTGGACAAAACTCTTCAGCAAGCATTGGTGGAAATGCCGCCCGTCCACGGAGTCATTCAGGCTGCTATGATGCTTAAGGTAGGGGCTTGGCAAAACTCAGCGCTGCTACCGGTCTTTAATTGCGAGTGCAGGATATTGTAATTTACAACATGACATATACAGACTTGTCAGCTGCTGTGCGACCTAAAGTTTTAGGTTCGTCGAACCTGCATAATACTTTTCTGACACAGCGTTTGGACTTTTCATTACAACTGCACTGGTTTCACCGTCCACAGCAACTTCTTTCTATGGATTTGACGGATATTTCGCAGTCGCAACACTTTGCAGAACTGGACGGATTCTTTGGGCGCAGTCGAGCTGCGAAACTGGATCAGCAGGGAGATGAAGCAGTGGTACAAATGCTAAAAGTGCTACAGCCTATACCTATAAATCGTTTCACAATCCTCTCGGCGAGTAGAAGTCTGCTGGTCAGCTTTTGTAGTTAGCAGCATCTACGGCCAAGATGGGACTTACCCATAATGATACGCATACTGAAAAGAGAATTAGACATGATTTGCTCTATTCGCAGTTGTAGTAATTGTTATGAAATCATTTGGTACTATACGGATGCCGTCGCAACTATAATATAAGCTGATTGTGGAGCTGCCCAGATCTGACGCTTCGTTATCATGCAGGACCGTAATACAGAAGAGGAGTTTATGTTGTATGCAGGTTTTTCGGCGCTCCACGCTCTAGGAGTCGTATAGTTTTATTTCATAAAAGAAAAGCTCAGTATGCGCTCTGCATCGATGATCCTGGGGCTGAGAGAGAATAATAAATAGAGGTGATACTTTCCTCATGAAAGAGTTAGAACTAAGCCATAAAAGGGATACAAGAGCCACCTCTACCGACTACGTACTCTAATTTTCATTGTTTATTGTCTTGCCCGACTTGCCTGTCCGCCTCTTGTTGATCTGCTGGACAAAATTACTTGGCGTTCTTACCGGCTTCCTCCGTGTTTTATGGCCAAAAATTAACTTAGCCGGATATTATAGAAGTTTTCGTTAATAATTTTTTTTAGCTGGTCAGCACCCCTGTTTGACAAGGGTTTGTTTGTCGCTCGCTGTAACCCTTTATGAGATTGTAATTATAAATAACCAGACTAAGCGAGAACTTGTGCGGAACTATAAAACGAGTCACAGCTACAAAAACCCGGTAGATTAGAACTGTAATTATCCCTTCCTCGATGCCGTGGCTGACCTGGATTGCTCTGATTGATATTGATCGTCCAAAACAAGGCCCAGGAGGATCCCTCCGTCTGCGATTCTCCAGGGATCGCCCCGGACCAATTGTCCAACACGTTCATTATGTTCTTCTTGCGCGGTGGCAAGCCGGTGGGACTGGTTAAGCTCTTTACTAACTGTTGTGGAATTCAGGGGAAGTAGTGCGCAGGGAGCTATTCTATCAGCTACAGGCCAACTAGCCTAACTAGGAAGTAGATGTCATTCAGTGGAAACACCAGGAATCACATTATCTCAACCAACTGAGTATCTTGCATTCCCATGCTCAACTAAGGATTGAGGGGTAGAATGGATCGTTAGATATTTCCGCACTGCCAAGTCGGGCGGATTATAGTGTTTCCGTAACTTAACTGGTAAACGAGGTTGCGAGCACTTCTGGCTTAATATCTCAACAACATATCAAGAGGGCGTGAAATTCCGAATCAGGATGTATATCATATACTAAATGTTGATATTGGCTGCGGGGGCCTTAGTTATATATTTTGTTCTATAAAGAGGTTTAAATATCGCTGTATTTAGAATGTTGTCGTATTATAAGCAAGAAATAATGCTAGAAGTTCCGAGTAAATTATATTAGCATTCTACATTGCCTACAATTTTACGGACGTGCGCAACCGGCTTACAGGCACAGCTCGTTTTCGGTTACGTTTTTTGAGAATACGGCGGCTCACATTGATGGAATATTATTGATTTTCTACTTTTTTGGTCTGTGAATGGTGATGTAATATATATTTATGACTAAGGTTCCCCTCTTTCTTACTCTGGCATGGACCATCATCTGATTGGTTCACGACGACGGATAAGTTTTCTATTGTGGGCCAGCGTCCATTTCAACAGACCTGTCCGGTCCTGTCCTGTCGTCTCTCCCAGATAGAGGTCCTTTCCCGTTCCGACACTGAAAAGTTATGGCCTTGTCAAACGCTCCATTTGTACAAAGAAGTCCCAACTCTCATCAAGGTGATGTGACTCGCGACCAAGGTATTCAAAGAATCTGCCAAATTGTAATCAACTAGGTCTTTTTTTCTAAGTAGTCGTTATGCTTCGTTTACGCTGCGACCATGGTCACATATGGTCAATTTCAGTCACCTACAACAGCAACTGAATCGCGGTCTCGCCTTCAAAAATATGATGTTATATGCCAGAGCTTGTCGGTTTCTGTGAGCTCCCTGATTGTGCTTATGAGATTTTATACGAAGCTTTTCATAATACGCTCTCCTGGGTGGGAGGATTGTATGTGAATCTGCCTGGGCCTTCCATCATTTACAGTCTTTTCTAACTACTACAACAGACACATGTCTAGCAGCGTGGGTATGATGCAATCTCCACATTGGTTACCCGAAGGATATTATCTAAAATATTACTTGCTGCTAGCTTGGTCTTATAGGCTACGCCGTGATCTCTCTTGAAGCAGATGCCCATGGCAGTGGTACTCATCAGGAGTATGTAGCAAAAGACGACCTCCGGAGATATAAACAGGTCAGTTGGTATTGAACGAAAGACCGTAGCCACTGCTGCTGACTCTGTTCGTTCCATTTACCAGCTGGCGAATATATCGCAGATAGTATACGGTCCTCTTATTTTCCTCGCAAAATTGTCAATACTTTTGCTGTATCTGAAAATATTTGCTCCAATCCGACGGAGCAAAACTTACATCGCTATACATGCTCTTGCATACCTCAACTTGCTCTACTACACTGCCTACACAATAATTGTTATTGCCGCTTGCATCCCAAGAACGAAGATCTGGGACCCTACTACTCCCGGCCATTGTCTGGATATCAATGCAGTTATCCTGAGCAACACCATTATCAACTCAATCTCCGACGTATCCCTCCTCCTTCTGCCCATCGCGTCTATCTGGCGCTTACAGCTGAACACGTGGAAAAAGCTAGGCATCTCAGGCCTGTTTGTAACAGGGTTATTGTAAGCCGCCAGCGCTGATAGATATAGGTAAATGTTGACTATTGGCAGCGCTTGCTTTGCCAGTATCATGCGCTTGGTAATAGGAGTCCAGAAGAGGAATACTAAAGACATGACTTATGACTGGTTTCCCGAATTTCTTTGGACGTAAGTTGCCTCACAAACTGGATGTGTCCAAAGCTATTTACATATACAAGATCCGCAGAAATTAGTAGTGCCATTATTGCTGGTAGCCTTCCAGCAGTGCCTGCATTCTTCCGCTATTTTTCTAGGAAACTCTCTAAGGCCATCAAGAGAAATAGCCGCCACAACCAGTCAAATACTTCAGGTTCAGAAGCAGGAATGAAGCCTTCTAGCCTTGCTGGTGGTCCTGTCGTTCATGGTAACCTGATGACAGGTCCAGCTGATCCCATACCTGCGAACTCTGGAAGTTATCAGTATTCACAGCGAACAACGGGACTCAGTGACATAAGTAATGAGGGGCGTGTTCCTGGGCTTGTTAGTGAAGATAGCGGCGTCCCTGAGCCTTCGACGGCTTACTCCATTATTCTTAGAGACATGGAGACAGACTTGCGACAGTGAATATATGCTGATATATGATCCTTTAATTAAGGTCTTGTTACATGTGGACTGGACATCAAATCCGTATACGCATACTCATGCCAACAAGAAGCAAGGGGGTATTCTACTCTGATAAAAAGAAGTCAGGTAATTTAAAAGGCATTTCATCCAGCGTAGTCCGGATCCTCATTAATATTCGGCTGTAACAAGATGCATTTTCGAACATACCCTTCAAATCACAAACGGAGCAATGCTTGCTAGCTTCTCACGGTTTCTGTAGGTTCTCTTTGTGGACTGGACTGCCAGATGATGCCTGCACCGGCCTGGATCCACTATCTACCTTTATCCTGGAATACAGTGCGAAGAACAAGCGTTGCTTCGAAGGATTTGGAACCCTCCAAAATTAAGACAGCTATAAAATATAGCTCCCTTGATTGAGGCTCTAGACGCTGGATGGCCTCAAGAGCCGCTTGCTTCGGGATCCAAGATTCTGTACACTACCGCGTAGTCGAACCGACATCAGATCCTCCACAGAGATGGTGTCCTTTGAACATACTAGTCTAGCTCTATAATTGGTTCCTTGACCAAGAGTACGTGCGTGTTCCACTATCTCTTTTGGATCATTCAGCAATTCTTGGTGCCACCGTTCCACTTCAGAATCTGTTCCATTCCGTGATAGAGTCCCTGCCAATGGTTCCGTGATAACTTTTCTATTTTGCAACTATATCACAAGCTCAAGCTGAATCCAGTGGCTTGGAAACCAGCATAATTTAGTGAAATCGTTAGGTTAGGTGTATTGGAGAGTCGACCGCGGAGCAGGGTGCGAGGCGTGCCTACTTCGTGGTTCAAACTTATTGACGAGACAGAATCACTTTGGTATACCTCCCTTCAATTATGTCTTTCAAGTCCTTAGATACTCAGGATTTATACTCTTCTTCGTTCTCTATATCGACTGGCAGGTCACAGTGGGCGAAGTTTGTAATTATATCGCAAAGTCTTCTCACTGCCCCATAATCGCATCCTCTGATGGTGACATGATCTGGGTAAAGAATGACCTCAGTCCGTGGGAGCACGAGGCTTAGGAGGAGCTACGGTCCCGGGTAGGCCATGTATATGAGTCGTATGACTGAAGCCAACGTGGCCAAAGATCTGGCGCTCAGTATTCGAGTTTGCTGACACAAATTCCCCTGCAATTTCCGGAATTGGATTGGTAGCCATGTCAACAGCTTCTTTCCTTGCACCTGTCTTGGCTATTGCCACCTGTTGGGTGGCGGTTGGGTATCCTACATGCAGGCTAACTATTGGAAACATGTTGATTCTGTTAAAGGTTCTATAGATACTATAATACCGAGAACACTATCTATACTGATATCATAAGTATATATAAAGGTTCATATTATGCCCATATCCTAATTTGTGATTGGCCGCTGGTTTTCTGCGTGGAAGATGCTATGCTCTCTGTAGACAAAATAAACGTAAACCTTACCAAACCCTAGCGGTATCAGCTCATTGGACACTCTTTTAATGGTCCCTTATATGATGGACGACAAAGTATAATAACACGTATACAGATGACGTTTAACGGATATCCATGATTTTCTCATCCATCTTGTGACGTGTCCCATTTCTTTCCAAATTCGTCAGCACTCTCCAATAGAGCACATTCAGTGTTAATAAGCCCTAATTAGTGGCTGATCTACAGTATATGGGGTATGTGCACCACCCAAATTTCGTCCCCTGCCTCCAAGTCTAATATAATGCTTAAAACTTTGAAAAGGGACATGATGTGCGCCGCAGTAAAATTTGAACATACACAATTAAATTAGTGGTCCTCGCTTGCACCTGCTGGATCCTGCGACATATAATAGCCCTTTTTAGTCTGGCACCAAGAACGACGATTTCTTTAAATAACAAATAATCTTGGGACCCTCGAACTAGGTGCGAAACCGAAGAAGCAGCATGGCGACGACTTCTGATCCAGATGACTATGATTTGGGCAGGAGGGATATCTGATTCTATCTGGTCAGTGCTTCCATCATTGTTGATATCTACGCTTCGACCTTGATCGCTAACGGAAGTAGATTTCGGCGTTTTCTTGGAAGCTCCACCAAGGATACGATCTACATCCTCACACCCCTATATAAAGTAACATGAGGATACCGGAACTTGGTACCGCATAAGCTAATATTCACCATGACATATGCCCTTCACAGACTCTCATGCAACACAGTATCTGGCTGTTCGACCTCGCAAGAAGCCTCCCTCTCACACTGCTGCTCAATACGATGTCATGCGTCTCCATATGTGTGCGAGCAACCTACGTCAGAGTAGTACAACGACACTGATGAATTGTATTAAACGGCTTTTAAGTAAGGGAATTTCTCTGGATAGCGTTCGAAATAATACCTGATGAACATAGAACCTGGGGATTATGTTCAGTAGGAGGGCGGAGATCTATTACGCCAGATAGTCAAAGGAACGGGGGCTCTGGAATTTGAGCAAAAGATACGAAAAACATTCCAATCAGCTGGCCTCACTATATAGGCGGGTATTTTAATACCTAGACTTCGAAAGAAAAGAGAACGTCGAATAGTGGCTAACGTATTTTATTAAATACTGGGTATCTGAACTCCCTGTCCGTCTAAAAAACGAAGATCTCTGTGTCCTTAAAGCAGAAACTGGCAAATTCATCCTCTTCTTATGGAGTTGTGTACTAATGCCTACCTGATGGTGCTTAAGGAAATAATTCAGGGGATAAATAAGGTCTTGGCGCAGAACGCTTTGCTCGCTGTGTGAGCTTGAAATGGAGCTCTACCAGCTGTGTGCTCAAAGCAGGGATGGTATTATCTACAACTGGACTCCTATGAGTGTTCTGGCATTTAAAGAGTGGGAACTTAAATTTATTTCACAAAGCGCTTGATGGACAATATTGAATCCTTCAACCTGTCTTTGGAAAGCAGGGGGTGAAGTTGGTACGTTTTCGTTATCTAAGACCTTAGAATGATATCAAGACAAAACATAAAACTCAAGAAAGATTATCAGAAATTAAACTACTGACCTAGATAATGACCTATAGCATACATAGACATCCTTATTCATTCATCATTCCAACTATGACTGACCAGTAGTGAAGTTTCTCACTAGCCGTAATACGTGGAATTACTAATTATTCAATTCCTTTTCATGGACTATTGTTGACTGTTAGCCCACATATATACATGTTATGAGACTGTTAAATTGGGGTCCGTACTGGCAGGGTTAACATTCTCCAGGCTACAAACACCAGGAATAAAGCCGGCTTTAATCATTCCAAGCTGTGAGACGGGAGCGGTCTTAAATCTTCATTGCCTTACTGCTCCGCACGAATTTTCGAACAGGTTTAACAATCTCCTAGAAATACTGCTGGCAGCTGTAGGAGAGCTTGAAATAGAGGAGTAGGTGATTTAGGGGTGGACGAACGGCTGTCTTTTTTCGAGGGGGCGGAAGGGGCATATCCCCCCCAAAAGCCTATATTTATTAAGCACTGCATAATTACACTTATTCTTCCTGGTTTTAGGATACTCGAATAGGAGCAAATGGAGAAGTCATCTAAAACATTATATTAATACACTAGTATATCAAGCCTGTGCCTTGATTAAACGCTTACTTGGTCACCTGGTATAATAAAATTGCTTACCCCTCGCCTATCTTGCAGATCTGCGATGGGGTGACGTGGAAAGTTCTTAGACTCGCATTGCTTTTTGCTTATCACATATGCAAGCACTCCCCCGGCTTGAGGAAAGAACTCAGCTTCAGTTTCTATCTATATGATCGTAATTTTGAGTATCGTTGAATATCATTCATATTGCTCTACGGATTGATCCATCCTGTTTCAGCCGGCACTCCTTCCTATTACATCTGGAAGTGGCGGTTTTTAGTAGCTTTCGACTTGGATTAAGATGTTGTTCTAGGTAAAATCATGTGCGCGTGGAGACGCGTTGTTGTGGAAAATCCACTAACCAAGTATACAATCCTTTTACTCCATATTAAATACAATATGCAACAGCTGATGTTTTAACTTTTTATATGACTTAAATCAGTAAATATTGCTTGAATGTCGTATTTTCTGCCGTTCGGGTCGTTCCGTCTCATTTTTCCAAGTATTTGTTCTAGAGGCTGAACCGTAGGACCTATATGATAGGCTATGTACAAAAAGGAATCGCTGGGGGAAGAGGCACGCCGCACTCTTACCTTCCTACCTTGGTTTAGCATGTTTAAAACAGTCTGTAGTTTGTGCTCACATAAGTGTTATTTATCGGTTTCACGTCACGTACTAGCCCAGCAGTCATTTATATTATCTAGCCGAGCGCTTACCTGCAGCTATGCATCATCTGGCCTAAAATATTCCGTAACTGACATCTTAGCTAGACTGTCTTTGGACAGCCTAAACCGGACTGGGCAGGTAAGGATGTAGCATGTCTCGTTAGATTTCTAGATACAAAGACTCTAGGACATGAAAATATTCACTACGTTAAAACATAGAAGCCAACTTTATATTATCTAGTTGAATCCCTATATATATGGTCCGTAGTGCGTCTAGTAAGAATGGGTGAGATTGCATCTAGATCGCCGACCGACACCAATCCGAAAATCCCGAGACCACTAGGATTCGGACCGACCCGCACCAATGATCTACCACTAGCGTAGGCTAATATTTAACATATTATCCGAGAGCGATGATTTAGTACATCCTGTAGACTTTGTAACGATCGAATATAAGCTCCTGCAATATTCTGTCAAAAACAATGAGTTGATATAAAAAAGCTGGTGTTCCTATCATCCAACCCAATCGATCGACTAAATCTATCAATCACCATCCTAGCCTGAACTGCTTAGCTCTTTCGCATGACTCTTCTCCCACGGCTGCTCCTTCTCCACAGCCAAAATAAGCTCCACATGTCCTGGACTTCTAGGTTTGACATCAACCTCAAATGGGGCCGGGTGACTAATAATACCTGGCTGAAACATCGGCTCTGGTTCAATTACTTTACCATCCCGAACTGGCTTGGTTATGCGAAAGACGGCTAAGGACTGCGCAAGACTGAGGTAGACGTTTGAATCGGCCAATGTGCGTCCTGGACAGACTCGACGGCCGAATCCGAAGGAGAGCAGGTGTGGGTCTCGTTCGGGGACGTGTCCGTCATACTCTAGAAAGCGCTCCGGTTTGAATGCGAGGGGGTCGGGGTATACTTCAGGGTCGTGGGTATATGCCCTTCGTCCGGATTAGCGGATATGAACTACTATATAATAAGTGACAGAGGATACAGCAGAACGTACCAGATATTCGGTATGATTGCGGAACCCTTCGGAATATGATATCCCTCGCATGTATCATCCTTGATCGATGTATGGGCGACGCTAGTCGGAACGACCGGATGCCATCTGAAGACCTCTTTCACCATAGCGTTGATATATGGGAGATTGTCACGGTCTTCATAGCCAGGTAGACGGTCAACTCCAACGATCCGGTCGATCTCTGCCTGTGCTTTCTCTTGCACCTCAGGATTCATTGCCATAGAAAGGAAGAAAGATGCCATGGTAGAGACAGTCTGACAATCTATTAGCATTGCTATACCCAGATATGGAGTGTAGTACCGTGTCAGCTCCCCCCGCATACAGGGACGCAGCAGACCATTTGACGACCATCTCTTCTTCGGAACCCTCGTCGAAACTTGTCTCCTGCAGGAGATTGGAGAGGAAGGATGGCTGGAAATTATTCTCCGCCATTTTTTGTTTTACAAATGCATATGGAAGATCGCTGAAGGCTGTAACCGTCTTTTTGAATTTTTTTGCCATCTTGGGAAACTCAACGCCCGGGAACCAGGTTGGTATGTATCTCACTGTGATTCGTTAGACCCGTTTCGTTACATAAATCAAAGACATAATCAAAACCATACAGAGCGGGAAAAAATCTACTGCCCAAGTACCTGGCAAAATTGCTACCGAGAACTCTTCCATCGCCTTGTTCGCCAGGTCAACCAGTGGATCCGGACCGTGTGGCTCAATTGTATATCCATAAGCAACCTTGAGTACTATAGCCCCGGCCTCTCTATTCAATGTTAGTCGCATAGACACTTTGAACACCAGAGTACATACTTCCGTATATGATCAAGAAGGTTCCGTGGATCCCTTAGCACGCGAAGCAGAAACCGACGGACTTCCACTTCCTGGACCGGATTAAATTGAGCTACCGATACGTTCGAGCCAATTTGTTGGTGTAGAGCCTTTCGTATCGCCCGGAACGCATCCGAGTATTTTACACTACCGAGGATATTATTCCAACCCGCCCTGGTATCGTCAATGCTTGTCACAAGAGTCTCTGGAAAGGTAGTATTACATATCGCCAAACGTTTGATTTGGTCTAGAAGAGTGTATTGACGAGCGTTTCTCCAAAAGCTCCACGGCAAGTCGAGCATCATTAAGAACGATGATATGTTCACCCCATACCGTGACGGAGCTAATCGGTCCTGTTTAATATTAACTCCGAGCTACTCGGGAAGGAAACACGTTGGGATTATACCGTAGAGCTCCTTGTGTTTAAGCCAATGCTCCCAAGCTCGGTCATTATGCGAGGGTAGGTCACCCAAGTTGCCGATTATGGGCTTTCGCGGTGGACCAGGTGGAAGTTGCTCATTCCCTTTTCTCAGGACATATTGGAGCAGATATAGGCCCAACAGGCCGACGGTGAGAGAGAGAAGTGCAAAGGACATGGAGACAGCTAGTTTTGCGGATTACTACGGCTCTTTCGTCGTTGGGGGACGGAAGAAAGGAAGGAAATAATCCCACCGATTGCGGACTGGGCAGCTGAAATAAATGTGTGGCCACCAGGCTGGCAAATAAGCAAGGCAGTGGGGTAGGGGAGTCTAGTCACATTGTACGAGTGATTCACATGCCATTAGCAATAATACTGTGACACATGTCGTACGGATTTATTACAGATGGCCAGTCTACTTATATTGTATTCTTATCCCTGCAGTCTCTGGCCTGTATATTAATCAGTTTCCAATTTAGGCATTTAAAGCAGAATTTTTGTATATTTTAATATCAGCTGTATTTTGTATTTTTAGACTATCTAACAACATCTTTAAATGGGCAGTATGCTGTATGTCTAAGAAATGTAATCCAAATACTGACTGGTAGCTAAAGAGCTGGCTTTGATCTACAGGTTAGCGTATTTATTTATGCCGCCAATAGGTACAGTACACTGACCCCCAAATAGGATCCCACTGCTCTAAAAAGGGCGATAGGCTAATAGATAAATCGTCGAATATTCTGACAGACCCACTTCCGGAAATCTCCCGCAACCTTATTCAGTATCTTAGGATAATTGTCTAAATATCACAAAAAAATCAAACAAAAGTGTTCAGCCTTCCCAGCGCCCCTTCCAAGGGGTAACGCGCCTATGAAATAATTAACATGCTTCTAAACATACTGTCTTGAATGCTTAGCCTTCAGAACCACGGACATGAGTTCCAGGCAAAATCGACCAGGTCTCTGCGGTAAATGCAAGCTCATTCCTCTGCCTCATCAATTCGGGATCTACGTAGACTTTCATTCCTATCGAGTCCTGGGATAAATTGTAGACTCGGAATATGATGTAGACGACGTCCGAGTACTCGGAGTGGGAATCGGGGTTTTCCTGGTTTGCGGAACCATTGGAATTATTTTGCATCTTAATTATGTTAGCTTTCGAAAAGTCGTCCACAAATGCTTTGACTTACCCTTCGGTACTGGTACTTGCTCATATAAAATGGAGCCTCCCAGGATAAAGTAGTTGATTTCACCTCAAAGTAATATCTAGGTCGCTTCCCTGTCCACATCTCTGAGCTTAAGTACCCCTTATCAATTAGCAGGCAGGTGAAAAAGCCATCAGTGTCGTTATATATGAGATCTGCCACCTCTCGGCCATTCCACGGCTCTATATCGGTATAGTCATCGTGAAGTGTCACGTATTTCCGAATGGTGCTCTGCCAATTATCGAGAGAAAAGCCCCGTAGAGGAGGGTCCAGGCGAGATAATACCTCGAACACCTACATTGGCTATTAGATTTGTCGGCAAATCCCTACAGTGCCAGAGATTTAAATGCTGCTACTCACGAAAAGTTCCCCCGCCGCACCAATCTTCTTGTCGCGTTCAATTTTTTCCAATGTCCGCAGCCGGAAAGCTTCGTCATGCGCATCGAGGGCAGATGGATCAAGGGACTGACTGAGAGTCGACATATCGAAAGGACTTTTACCTGGGCATATAAATCTTCTGGCCGCCGCAACAACACTGTGAAGAAGTCCACGGTACTCCGAGTCCACGTCATCTGCAGGTTGGAAAGCGGGTGATAAGGATGCCCGCGGGCGTGGTGTAGGTTGTGGAGTATATGCATAATGACTCACGGGATGCGAAGGAGTGCGCGACGCTCTTGAAAATGTGGTAGTGATTTCCTCGACATCAGCCAAATCGGCAGATGATTCACAGACAGTTGAACTTAATGTGTCCCAATTTGAGTTGTTCCCGCCGCGATGACGAGGCGTCTCTAGCGCAAAGTCGTGCTCGGAGGATATATGATCTGAGATGGGAGCATTGGACGAATCGTCGGGCGTGTCAACAGACATAATGCCGGACCTATCGAGGGTCAAAGCAACATATTTATCTTGTGCTTGTAGAACGGTGGATAAAACATTTAGAGCCTTCTCACTCCACTGTTCACAAATGCCAGTGGATGGCTCGGTCATTATCCATTCTAGAAGTTCCCTGGGTAATCTGTCAAGAAAACATAGATCCCGATCCTTCTCATCACGCGGTACGTAAATCGTGAGCCGAGCATGGTTTTCCTGGAAGTGCAACTCACTCCTGCTGATTTCAACCTTGATATCATTCCCATCCTGGTTCAGATGCAACTCGGAGCTAATTCCATCCGTCTCACAAACTTCAATGTTCTTAAGTAGCTCATAGAAGGCTTGTTCGTCCTGTCTAACTCGAGGACTGTTGAAATGAACCGCAATTCTGGTATATTAAGTTAGCATCGCTTCGTTTTTGGTTGGCAACTTTTAACGCACCGAAGCAAACCGTGTGCTTTTCGAGCTATGCAACGATATGATGAAATGAGAGATCTTTGAGGCTCGCCACAGAGGGCAGAGATTTCTTTCACGGATGATGATAGATAGCGCGCCCCAAGCCCAACCCACCGGAGGAATGGCTCTAGTCGAAGGATATTGTTGAGGCTAAAGTCGAGGAATTTGGCTTTGCCAGAGAACAAGTCTAACAAGTGCTTGCGGTCTCCTATAGCGAAACTGACCGCCGAACTGCACATTTCTATGGACCCATTGGGATATCTCACTGGAAATATCTTGCTTTCCATTAGCCGCTTTGGGCTTGGAAGCACTTCCTGGCCATGGATGTATGAATTTAGCAGCTGAATTGTCTCTTTAATATCATGGACAGATGATCCTCCTGCTGCTTGTTCAATCAATTTATCATAAACCATCTCAAGTGTCAAGGTGCGGACACCCAAAAGCTCAGTAAAAAATCCAGACAGATCTTCGTAGAGGTCGTTTAGCGGTACCTTTCCCTTGATATCCGTTACGGTCGACCACAAGCACTGAGACGGTTTATACCAATTGACTGTATTGTTTTCCTCGTAGTAGATGAAATCATGATGTTCAAAATTTTCCCTTCCAATTATGAGCTGGGAAATCACGCACTCTGGAAAGGAAAAGACATTACCGGATATCATTCGCGACATCGCTGTCCATTTCTGTTCGCCTCTTATATAGTTCCTGGTATATATTGTAGACATGATCAAAGATATCAGGACCACCACCTTGCACCTCAGCCAACTCGTCCAAGAAATCGTACACACCAGCGTCTGGTATTGACAGGGTGTCTCGGAAGAACCCGATGATGTACTTTGTATCCTTAACCTGGTCATATGCAGCTCTTAGAGAGTACTTGACATTCATGTCTGCAGGAGCCTCCCACAGGCAATAATCCGGTAAAGTCCAACAAGTTTCTTCATCACCATAAGCAGGAAGATATATAAGACTATGTAAATTGAAAGTTGTCCTATTTATGAAGTCAGATAACAAAACGGCCGTAGGGGGAAGTAGATTGTACCGAACTGTGTCACGGGAAATATCCGGAGTCACGGACTCATGACACCTTGCCTCGATTCGTTTGTAGAGGTCGTAAACTCTACCAGCGTCTATCAGCTTCGAAGCATCCTTGTTTGCATCACTAATGAACTGCAGAATTGTAAGGTAGAACTCCAGCTCTGACTTGGGATACCCAAATCCTAGCGCACTTGTCACGACATCCAAGCCGGACAGTCCTCGGCCATCGCCTAACGAAGCATCTTGCTTTAACCATGGGAAAAATTCATGTTCCTGGAGAAATCTGTCCGCGTAGTCGTTTTTCTTGTTGTGCAAGAATGTCTTCCCGAGTGGATACATATTGCCATTCTCGCAAAGCACCTCAAGGCTTAGCAGCTTCTCAACCAGGATAGGACTTTTAGTGATTTGACTTCCTTCGGATTGCCAATACTTTACAAGGAAGCCTAAAAATTTCTCTGGCCGATGACTGGCCACATAAAGGCATTCTTCACTCAGCTCCCCATTGCGAGTCAGTGGAATTCTACTACGGACGTTCCGTACTTCACTTAACCAAGTTTTCCAGGTACGATCTTCCCCCTCCGGCTGTGTTGGACAAACACGCATGTAATCTTCATGAAGGAATGACGCGTTAAGAGCTGCAGCAATATTACGAAACCCCCCCGAGACCACTGGCTGAAGGAGCTGCTGGGCGCCATATGGGTCTTCATCCGGAAAGTAGAAAGTATATTCCTCTGGTGATCGTTTCCTGTTTATGTGGTCAATCAGTTTAATGTTACCATAGGCAAGTGCATGGTCATTCTCCCGGTCAAGGTGGGCTGTAAGATAAAGAAACGCCAAGTTATTCCAAATATTATGCGCGCGAACATTCCATCTACCATGATGAACATTGATAAGATTTCGAATGTCAGACAGTTCTTGTTCCTGAACGCCAAGACGACCAAAGAGTCGCTTTCGGCAATAATTTTTTTCGGCTTTCAAATCAAGTAATCTCAGCTTTAGGTTTCCAGGGATTTGGTATCCCTTCACATAAGGAGAATATATCGGAAGATCAGTGTCGCTTGCCGACGTCCATTCGCCCCCTTCTAGAGGGATCAACGCCAAGTCGTTTATTGTATTAGGCCACTTAGGCAACGCATCATGTAGAATAATTGCAACTCGTGAATGCCAGTCATCGTCGGTATTAGGAGACTTCATTACTGAAGATTCCTCGTTAAGATCTTTGCGAACCCTAGCGAAAAATCCTTTTAACCCCAACCAGCAAAGCCCATAATTTTCTAGTAAGTCCAAATCTTTTGCTAGATATTCGGGGGCGAGATACTCTTCCGTATGAAGATCTGGAAATAGAGGCTGGCCATTTCTGTCCAGCATTCGGGAGCGCACTCGTCGCATATCTTTAATGAAGCATAAACTTTTATGACTTTTCGTCCAAAGCGTTGGAGTATTTTGCAGGGAGCCGCGAATCGCATCGATTAATGTCATCCAAAATCTATCCCGAGAATAATCTCTATCTGCCGGAAGATATCGCATCCACTGGTAGCGCAGGGTTGGGTGCTCGCAGAATTGTGACACTGCTTTCGCAAAGACCTTCCCGATGGATGTAAGTATCCCGATATTTCGAGGTGATGATCTGACAATATCCTGTCTACTTGCATCGGTAACAAAATCAGACTGGATCAAGAACTGAGACACAATTAGCATTATGGAATATTCCGGGACGTGGAAACGCAACTGGAAAGCCCATGTTCCTTATGGGGAGAAAGGCGAACACATCCTGTGCTTCAATGATTGGAACAGAGTCCTGTGTTAAAGGGAAAGCTAAGACGATGTTAGCTTTTGAATACGCATGGCTAAAAAGCTCTGTCTCCGTATATGTGCGATTTTCGCTCTTCGCTAGGTTGTATACAGTATCTTGCGTTACGTGGTAGTGTCGTGTATCTTCCTGGACAGTTCCACCCTCCACCGTTGTCCTTTTCAGTTTCACGCGATTTTGATCCAGGTGTTCCATTGAAAACAAGGTGGATGTAACTTCCTCATTGTCATCGTCGTACATCACAATCTCGATCTTGCGAAGGTTCTTCATGAAGAGCAGAAAGGTGGCTTGGAGCTCTCGAAACTGTTGCAGGGTTGTCTCACGTTGTTTAGATAAAACCTCGTCCGCATCGGTTTCATGAAGGAAAAGAGTAATGCGAGTCAGAGGCGGAGTCAATGTTTCATTTGTGTCTTCCCAGACAGGAGATATCATCCCCATCCCAGAGTCTCCCATCCTGTGCTGGAAATAGAACGAGAAGTTTTCCGACTGAATGCGAACTTTCCATGCCACCATAAACACTGACTTGAACCCAATGCCCTTTTCACCAATATATCCCTGTGCTCCTGCCTTTGAGCTTTTCCCAACATTACAGATTGCTATTAGGTTCTGTCGCGTGAAACCGTCCTCGTTACACTCCAGAACTATTTGCCGGCGGTAGACACGAAAGGTAACGAAGGGAACAGCAGACAGTGATCTGGCTCTGGAATATGTATTGTCGTCGGCGTTCTGTAATAATTCAAATACAAACCGGGCGCTGCTGTTATATAAATTCTTTGACAGCCTATGCCGTTTCGTCGACAAGTTAGATCCCAAGAATCCCCATGTATTATGGATGTCATTCATACGTGATCACTGAGGACCCGATCATCTCGTCCTTCTTAAGCATGGCTTCCTCAACCTCACGTCGCACCTCTGGCGACATTTGGGCGTAGACATCTTCTCCAAGGTACCCATGGTCTTTTGCGATGCTCCTTACTAGCTCGCGGGCTCTGTCACGGTTAATCTGGGTTAGACGCTCAGCCTGGTGTTGGAGATCCAAGAAATGGGTTGCACTCCGAGGCATTTCATGAACGGCATCGGCCAGAAAGAAGAGGATAATAATAATAATAATAATAATGTGATGGACCTAAGTGGGTTTAAAGACGACAATGAAAAGAATGTGAGCACATCGAGGCACGAGGGCGGCTGGTGGAGGGCGGCTGGTGGGAGGCACCCAGTTTTAAACCTTGTAAGCCAAGGTGTTCGATTTTTTGGTGCAATTTTATGAGAGCTTGAATATTCTCTATATTCCTTCTAATGCGTGTTGTGATTACCCCTCTTCTTCTGGAGGCACAGCTTAATTATATAGCCATGTTGCTATATTACTTCACACTATGTCCCAATATGGACTAGCTTTATTCTGACGCAAGGCTGTATTCGAGCCGTCGTTGTTGATCTCAAGGCTAACTTGGCGCTTAAGAATAGTAGCAACTACCATTGGGTGCGATGACCTAGTGAACGGAAGATCCCCTGACTCGAAGGATTCGTCGTTGCATTCTAATAGGTGATGCTCGGGTCTGCGCCGCTTCCGGAGATGCCGTTCTTCCGTAGTATTGATTCTCACCTGCAGCCAAATAAAGAACGGGTATAGCACGGCACAGCCTGGAATTGCTGGTGCGTTGTATGCAATTGAGGAGGAAAATGGGTATTGGCATCATTGGTGGGTTGGAGTGGCCGTCACCCTGCAGAAGTGGGAGGAGCAAGATGGGTTGGGGAGGTTGTTGCGGCACGAGGATAGAAAGAGATCAAGATCATAGACTAAACTAGACTGTTAGTAGACCTATTCAGTCAGAGGCATACATTCTGGCAGCTAAATGCTAGTGACTTGGCCCAGACCAACTAAAATCTTACGCTATATATTATAATGCCTGCATACCTGAGACACCCCCCTCCACTACCGCACCCACAGTGATGATCGGCCGTCTCAAGTGTCTAAAGAAGGAGTCAGACAAAGAAAAATGCTGGACAAAGGACAAACCGGAGAGAAAGGCCACCTGCTTTTTAGTCCTACAACCCTTTCTCTATCTGTCTTATCGCATCACAGTCATCAAATTCATTAGAATGGAATCCCCTGCTAATCCAGAGATGATCCACGTTGTCAGCAAAGCCGACAACCGCCAACACGCCGTGGTGAATATTCCTCCGTCAGTCGACCAAAACCTGCCTGTCTCGTCGCTCCGCGCGCGACCGATCCTTCTGGGGTTAAGTTCCAATAATCTTAGTTACGCCCGCGGAGGAGATCTACTGCATTGGTGTGCCGACGCTACCCTGCACAGGTTCTGTGGTCACTGACAGCCACAGGTGGAAGACGTATCCGGTTCCACCCACAGTGCCGTCCCCATACAACGATCAGTCCTCCTGGGGCATCGTCCCGGCGTGGGGATACGCCACCGTCACCGAGAGCAGTGTCCCTGGAATCCCGCCCGATTCCTTTATCTGGGGATACTGGCCTACCTCGACGTCGCCTACTCTCCTGCGCTTGGAACCTAGCGATCCTGAAGGTCACTGGGTGGAGGTTAGCAGCCATCGACAACAGCTGATGCCTATATACAATCGCTATGAACAGGTTCTCCCTGGCGAAGAAAACGAGCTGGATAAGAGGGCGTGGGGTGCCCTCTTCCGAGGAGTCTGGGTCGCCGGATACCTACTGAGTAAGTACGTGTTTTCCCCTGACCCGCGAGCACGAGAACCAGTTCACCCGCTTGGCGCGGCGAGCAGACTGCCCTGGTCCGCGGACGATGCGGATCTCTCGTCTGCTGTTGTGGTGGTTTTGGGTGCGTCTACCAAGGTCGCGCGCTCGTTTTCGTGGTGTCTATTTGATCGGCCCAGGGAAAGTGGACCCCTGGGTTTGGTACAGGTTACTTCGTCCCCTGGTGTTTTGCAGGAGGTAGCAAATAGCAAAGGCTGGGGTGGTGTGTCCAGGACATTGGCATATGGAGAAATCGACCAGGCAACCGCGTGGATTGAGGGTCTGCAGCCGTCAAAGCTGGTGATTGTAGATTGCGGCGCGCGGGACCACGTTCTTAGTCAGATATGCCAGAATCTTCAAGGGTCCGCGCTCCGGTCATGCAAAATTGTCATTCTGCAGGTGGGCAGTCAACAAAAGGTTGGTCTCTCTGATTTTCATCTGAGGATTCCCGTTGACTCTATTCAGGTGTACACGATAGAGGAGGCCCAGGCAGCTCGTGCAGCTATGCAATCACTGGGGAAGATCCAGTACAACACCTCTGGCATCCAGGACACAATCATCAACCGGGAGGGGGCTGGAACATATTTCGGAAAAGTCTCGCGCAGGTGGAAGGAATGGTTAGCAGACCGTGCCTCTGCCATCCCAGACATGCAGTTGGTCTGGGGACAGGGCATTGCTGGAGAAAATGGAATCTACAGAGGATGGGAAAAACTTTCCAATGGTGCAGTGCGCCCTGAAGAAGGATTGGTTTATACCCTGTAGAGAGTTCTTATTGAGCAATAGTCTTCTTCTATCTAGGCTGTACTTAGCCCAAGGGATACCAACTCAATCAGGCCGTAAAGATAAACGCCACAGAAGAAAACATCACCCCGGCACCAAAGAGCAGCGGAAAATAAGGAGCCAGCTGCGACCTCTACGGCGGACGGATATGGCCAAATGATCAAAACTAAAATTCTCGTAAGACCCTCTACCGCCTGCTTTACCGCTTACTATTCTAATTCTTCCTTATCACATACATAGTACGGCGGACTATTGCGGCCAAATGATCAAAACTAAATTTCTCTTGAAGACCCTCTACCGCCTGCTTTACCGCTTACTATTCTAATTCTTCCTTATCACAAACATCATCACATGCATATCACATTGCATATTATAGCGCAACAGTTTACTACTGTACAATCCTTAGCCTATGGTCACAGCCTACATAGAAAGGTGGTTACCCTTTCCCTGTCTCCTGGTCTATTGTACAAACAGGGAAGACTAAAGTATGCCTCGTCCAACAACAGATCTTGAGCCGTACAAAGAAGAGATTATTTCCCTGTACCAGTCTAAAAATGATCCCTCCAGGATTGCCGCTTTTCTTTATAAACAGCATAGAATTACTGTTTCTGAGTGTACAGTCCGGCGACGTCTTAAAGACTGGCAGATTACCAAATATCGACCACGTACGACAAGGGACCAAGATTCAGAGGTCTCTCAGCGGATTCTCCAGCTTTTTTATGAGCAGGCTCTAAGCGATAAGGATATTCTTAGAGTCTTAAGGTCTAAGGATACTGATATTGGTGAGAGAACATTAAGGAGAATCCGTACAAGCTTGGATTAGTACGCCGACAGATAACCCCTTAGTTCAGCAACTCCAGGAGAATAGATTATCGAAGTACTCTGTAAGAAATGGGGCAGACTATATTAAGGGCTAAAGGGAGTTTCTTCTTAGCATCTTCGTACAAGGGGTTATACTATTCTCGGTGTGTTTGAAAACCTTTATTTAAAAGATTTATACTAATTATTCGTTTTTTTAGTACGTTTTGGGCTATATACCTACACTTGCACCTAAAGACCTGGACCGCCGTGCTAATAACCTCCAACGCCGCCGTGGTGCTTATATTATTCCTGGTCCAGATTAGCTATGGTCTACAGATGGCTATCTAAAGCTGGAGCTGTACGGGATTAAGATATATGCTGCAATAGATACCTACTCCTAATATATTATCTGGATTTATATTGGTATTTTAGCTTGTACAGCAGTCAGCGTCCTTAAGCAGTATCTTAATACTCTTGAGGAGAGGCAATTATGCCACGGAAGCTCCGTACAGACCTTGGAGAGAAACAGTTATCTTTTGGATGCCTATTATTAACTCCGCCAAGTGTACAGCCTGATCTATCTCTAGAGGACTGTATATCTACGGACGGAGTACTAAAACCAGGAATTAAGTTATAGTGGGGACAGCTTACTAAAACAACTTTTTAAATAGCGGGTAAGTTAACCTTTATTTTAACTGTTAAAACTAATTAATAGGAGTACTTTAAACAGCTTTTAGATAAAGTGTTTTTTCCAAGGAATCTATACAGATTTATTATCTTGTACGCGTCTACATGCCTAAGATTGGCAGGAGGTCTTACCTTTAGACACAACTGGAATATCATAGATTGAAAAGCCTGACGGATTGGTTTAATAAAGCCATAATAAATTACTATTATCCTCCTATAGTGTAGAAAAGTATGGATAATTTTACAAACTCTTAGGCAGCTAAAACAGATTTAAGGAGTTTGGTAAGCTTATTTCTATACTATATTAACTATACTAATAGATGGCTAGATCTTGACAAATATCTTCCCTCTAAGACTCTCCAGTGGTGTCGTACGCAGCTGTTGGGGATGGGTTTACCCTAAAAGCACACCAATTCCTCCAGCTAAGAGTATACTCCTTTTCGTACATTTATTTGTTATTTCGGGAGAGAGTGTATCTATATATACAGTCTTATTACTAACTATATCTTTGGTTATCCAGCCACCTATAGGAGCCTTTAATTGGGAGCTATTATCCTAAAGGTGGCGTCCGATAGTATACTGTGGCTTTAGTCCAGTTTATAATTATTTGTTCCCACTGTTACTACATAGACTAATATTAAACATTCTTCTCTCCTTAAGAATTCTATCTTCTTTATTCTTTTCTTTAATTCCTCCGTACAAGTGTACAATGGCAGTAGCCTGGACTCCCTTTTGTTCAAAGGCACCACAGCCTATACTGGAGAGTATTGCAGGACTTGTGGTGCAGTTAAGCCTATTAATCTTACTATTCTCCCCCTTCTACCTCTTCTTCTGCTCTATCTTTCTCACAGCCCAAGCTGCTCCAAGATTTAAATCCTATGCCGTATACAAGGAGATAAGGATCCCGAAACTTGCAATTTACAGACACGAAAACACAGGAACCAAAGGATTTTAAAGCCACTGTTAGCTTTTATCTGGAGGTGATTAGAATCCTCCTGAACCAAGACAGCGTACGAGCCGGCAGCATCTAATAAGTTATTTTAAAGTTAAGAGTTAGAAAAAAACTAACTTTTAAAAAAACAATTAAAACTAGACTGTCCAATTGATGGATAAGAAGCATCTAGGAGTTTATTAAAAAGGACTTACTTCCTGGGATGCATGCTTTTTCCTAATATTTATACGATCCCAATAATAACTTACACCTAGCCACCGGGCTTCAAAATAAGCATGCAATCTACTTGACAAAAAGTGCAGATTGCAGCCAGACAATTAGGTAATTACTACAGGGTTGGTTCCAGACATCTAAGCAAGAGTATACTATGTATATTGTTATTCTTCGTACGCAGCCTAACTTGCAAAATAAGCCAAGGCATATAGTAAAAAGGGAACCAGTGGAAATAAAATCAGAGGATCCTTTTAATAATAACCTAGATCTTTTTATACCAGTAATATTACCATCTTCTTCTCTATTTTCTCCTCCTTTGCCTGCTGTACAAGCAGATTCAGAGTCTCCTTCCACGCGGAATTCCTCTCTGCAGCCTTCTTCCACGCGATTCCTCTCTGCAGCCTTCTTCCATACGGCGTTCCTCTGTACGACTTCCAAGCAGTTTATCCCAGCAAAAGCGATAGCAACATCCCAACCTGAGCGTCCTGGTATTCGTACGCGGAGGAATAATGGTGATTGGATGAGGAGGAAAGGATCGTATAAGGGAGCAGGTCCTTTGCCGTACGGTCTTTATTTTGGATTTGATTAGTTAGTAATTTATTCTGGTTATCTTTTAATATAAAGTAAAGTAGAAGAGGTTGCTTAGTTGTATCTATATTTTTATTTATTCACTGGTGAACAGTTTTTACCTCTCTTCTTGTTTTTCTCCTCTTCACTCAACCACCACCACCACCATCAATGGCGTACAGGAGGATCAGGCAATTTCATAGCTTTATAGAGGACATGCTAACATTTTCCTGCGTACAAGAATCAGAACCGTCTCCGCGTCTCCACGCTTCTCTCCCTCCTGTAATCGATCTAGATCCATCTCCAGCTCCTGTGGAGGAGCAGCTAGATGATTTTCCCAGCTTCTGGCAGCACACCCCTGGCCAGATCCTCCTCCCTGTGGGAGGAAATGCTGGCCCGTTCGTACATACTGTGAAGGAAGGCAGTTGCTGGCACAGAATGGTGCATCTGTGACTTTTATACGCGGTAGATAATAGCACGGCAAATAAAGCAACACCGGCCCTCCTACATCAACGCCCTGCTCATTCAGTCACGTGGAATAAGGTTGGCTCAGCCTTGTACGCGTTGCCGCACCGTACAAGGTAGATACCCATTTCCTGAATGTCGCCATGTACCAGGCGTCTTCGGAGGAGCATGCGCCAACTGCAAATGGCCTGACAGAGCCAGTCAGTGCTCCGTACGTGATGAGCTGTGGCAAGATATTGGACATGGTCTCCTAGCACCTGCCCCAAATTGGGGGGGTCAACCAGGGGCACTGCTAGAATCTCCAATCAACTTGGATCCAGATAAAGGGGATGCCGGGAATCCAATTAACTTGGACCCGGAGGATGGAGGGGGGGTAGAGAACCCGATAATCCTTTAAAGTAAGTGATTTTCGTACAATTTGCATGCACCAGCACCAGTACCAGCATCTGCATGTCCAGCCATACGGACCCTGTGTACGGCACCTAAGCATGGGCTTGCACCTCTACGTGGTGCTTAGGACTAGTAGCCGGAAGGTGAAACCAAGCAAGCCACCTAAGGCGCCTAAATTTCTGACCTAGCTGTGGTGGTAGAAATCTGAAGACTGACAGTTATTCGATTCTGCCGGCAATATAATGGGAAATTTAGTTTTGATTATTTGGCCGCAATAGTCCGCCGTATACATAGTCACATACATAATCACATATAGATGTCACACATCACATTGTATATTATACCGCAACAATTTACTGCCGTATAATCCTTAGCCTATGGTCAAGACCTACTTAGAAAGGTGGTTACCCTTTCCCTGTCTTCTATTATATTGTACTAAACTATGCCTCGTCTAATAACTAGACTGCGGCAAAACCGCGGTTTTGGGTATCATAGTCAAAACCACAACCGCAGATTTGCGGTTTTGGATATCACTTTGAAAACCGCAACCGCAACCGCAGATTTGTGGTTTAACCACGGTTACCCATGGATAACCGCATGAAAACCGCACTAGCATAACTCTCGCTTCTTTAACCAATTCTAGCATATCAGGTGACACTTATGCAGCTTACATACTCTTGTTTTTAATTTGAAAATACACCTGTTCTGGTTAATACAGTGAGCCGGTTAACCTCTCAGGCCAATTGTTCTTATTGTCCCTACTGTCCCTATTGCCCCTATTGGTTGTAGCTCCTCTAACGTTTTATATACGTGTACCCAGGCAATATGCTCCTGGGAGTGTACGATAATAAGCTATTCCGAAAACTTAAAGACAAGGAATGTGTTGCAGGCCACGCCCGTATATTAC